GGATAAATAAAAGAACAGTTTTCTAGATATCAAAGGAAACAAAATCTTGTAATTTAAATTTGTTTAAAGATCAATAAATTGTTACTGACTTATTTACAATCGACAATGAAATACAAGTCTTAGTGTAAAAAATAATAAATGAACAAGCCAGCCTAAATTAAAGTCACAAATAATTTTCATTACAAATTAACACTATTTTGTGCGTGGGTAAAATTTTATTACATGCACAATACTGAATTATTTTCGTTTCCTTCTTTTCATTTTGCCATTATTGCGAATATGTTATTTCATTTTGTATAAAAATATTGCAAAAGAATGATTAAGGTAAAATTAACTTTTCTTTATCATATATTTAATACAAATGAAATTATTTAGATTGCTTTTTTAAATTAAGTTATGGAATAAGAGAGTAAAAATTTGAAAATTTAAAGTAGTTTTTTTTCACGAGATAAAAAGGTTGTACAATAGACAACCATAGGAGATAGGAATCAAAGGAAGCGAATTTCACAAATAATGGATTTACTCTCGAGTGTCGTACAAGTAGAATGAACAAACGCGAAACACTCTAAGTGAAATATTTACATATTTAATGTTAAAAACACAAATTTGATTATTTAGTAGGTATTGTTATTAATGCAGACAAATTTAACCGTTTGATATACTTTAATATTATTAAAATAACAGGAAAGTAAATGGTTTTCATTCATGAGAGAATAAAATGCCTACATCACTAAATGCAATGAAATAAATGACAATTTGCGTAAACATGAAACTATGGATATGCTTTGGACGAAACTATGTACTTTGTCAAAAAAAAAGAATATTTTTCTCGAATTTCAAGTTCGTACATCCATGTGAATTTAAAAGCAGTCCTAGGAGGCGTGTGACGCGAGGGCGTCAGAATTCGAGATACGGCGTGAGCTGGGGGCGGGTATCCCTTCCCTCCCGCGCCGCCCGCATCGCCCGCGCCGCCCGCATCGCCCTCGCCTCCCCCGCCGCCGCGCCCATCGCCCCCTCGCCCCTAATCCAGGTACGCGTGTTCGGCAGAGACCTCCCCGGGCGCTCGGCCCGATCTGCCGAGGATTAGTGCGCCGTTAGGAAGATTATTGGCTTACGGAGCCTAAAATATGCTGCTGCGCCTCACGCGTTCCCAGCCTTTAAAACACTAAATAATTTAAAAAAAAGATTAATTGCGAGTCGAGCCTCTAAGAGATTTTCTTCCGTTCTCATCTCGGCGCTTGCTCTGCTGGAAATAATGCATTAGTTAAACGTCCGGTCATAACGCTGGATGTTATAAAAGATGTAAAGAGGGTTACTGAAGGCTTCTGAAGATAATACTATTAAACAGAACTGTTCTCCTTAAATTAATAATGAACATCCTGTCAAAGGGAGATAACACACACTGAACCATTGACCTCTTCGTAGATGAAACAAACGTAGCCACGTGACGTTGAATGTTGTAAAACGTAGTTGAAAATGGCGCTGATAAGAGTAACACAATGAATATTTATGAGAGAAATACACAAGTGTGAACACAAAATAGCAGGTGTTGTATGTTTTAATATGACAATTAAGATTACTTTAGATTTCCACGGTTTGCGATAATAGTTAAAAATCGTGGAAATATCTTATGTAACGGGAACTCATCTTGGATCAGGTGGCACACACGTTGATGTCATTTACGGCAAACTTGGCTCAGTCAGGTGAAATGATTGTAAAGCACACCCATCAGCGACAAGAACAAGAGCGAAGGTCTTGAAATAAACAGAAAGCGACCCCAGTCAGTCATTAAAAGAAAACGAAAACAATTTCATTGGACTGCTCCACGCTTGTGTCATCAAGCAGCGTGCGGGAGCGGCGGCGAGGCGTAGTGCGGGGAGAGTGAGAAAAAATACAAAACGGGAGGGAGGAGCGAGAGAGGGAGAGACGGCAGGCAGGAAGGCGACTGTTAGGAGGAATTAGCAATGCAAGCTACAGCCTCAGGCTTCGTTGCTCTCCGGGGCCATTTGAAGGCCGGCCAGCTCGCCGGCGCGTGGCGGCCGCCGCCTCCCCCCGCCCCGCCGCCGCCGCCGCCACGCCGCACCGCTCCCACGCAGACGGAAGACGCATTTAGACATCGCACTACACGCGCAGCCCGCCCGAAGGTGCCTCTCGCGAATATCCGCATCGGAAAGCGCGGGCGCTGCGTCAGCGGTCGGGAGGCTCCGTGATGTGGAATTACGACGCCCGAATATTGCGCCCGCCGCCGGCGAGGTTTCCCCACGCACCCCGAACACAGCGGTATGCGGGGTATTTCTTTTATCCCGCCATAAATAAAAAGCGACGAAAACCGACGGGCGTGCTCTTTGACACTGATGGATGGCTTCATCGATTGCGTAAAATCACATCTCCCGGCGGGCTTCAAGCCGGCACGTAATGTGACACTGCCGTGTGGAACCACCATAATCCAAGATGGCTGCTCCCGTCGCGAGCTGCCCCATGAGGGCCGTCCCATGGGCGGCGGGCGGCGGACTCGCGGGGGGAGGGGGGGCGCGGGCGCCTTCGCGAGCGGCGGGGGCGGGCAGGCCCCGGGTACCGCCCCGAGGCGTCTGCCACCCCAGACGCGCCGCCACTGCGCTCCGCCGCCGCCACCCCCGCGCCCGACCGCGGCTGCGTCTTCTTACTCATTGTGCGGGATGTCCTCGTCCTGCTCCAGCGACGTGGGCACCAGCGCGACGCCACCAACAGCACGACGGCACGCACCCCATTCGGTCGCATGGACGTCACGCGATCAGTCACCACCACACCCTGGACGACCACCACCTCGCAGCATCACCACACAGCACGGCACTCGCGGACCCCGTGCGCCGGCACGGCGCGGAGCGGAGCGGACGGCGGCGGCGGGGCGCGGCGAAGCCCCGGAGACGGCGGCGGGGCGGGGGCGGGGGAGGAGGGAAACGCGCGGGCGCGAGGCCGAGGTGCGAGGGTCGCGAGCGACAACTGCGGTCACTGCCGGCCGGCCTCGCGGGGGTTCGTGGGCGCGCGTCGCGGGCGGGCGTAGGCGTCGAATGCGCGGCGGGTGACGCGGGACGCGGGCGGCGGCGGCGGCGTGGCGGTGGAGGCGGCGCGGCGGCGGCGGCGGCCGGCGGCGCGGGCGGGCGGGCAGGCGCGCGGCAGGCGGCTCAGAAAGCGGCGGAGCCGATCGCAGGCGCCGCGGGCCGGGGCTTGCAGCGCTGCTAGGCGACACCCCTCGCCAGCCGGGCAAAACTTGGCCCGACAATGCGCCGGCTCGTCTCATACCTTGTTATTGATTGCCCGAGACCGCGCTGGGGCGCGGCGGCGGCGGCGGCGCAGGCGAGGCGCGCGCGTGGCGCCGGCGCTCGCTGCGACGCCGCGCTAGTGTCGCCGCGCCGAGCGCGACTCGGATTTGCCACTAGGACGGCACTTTCCTCGCTCTATTGCGCTTCTAACGAGACCCGACCCGCTGGGATTACTCGGAAGATCACGTTTGAGGTGCCGATGTTCCTAATTGAAATCGTCGGGCTCTCTGGAGCTCGTCATAGTACCGCCGCTTTTCCGGTGGAAAGTGGCGCCTGGCGTGGAAGTTTACGAAGCTGTTTGCTCAAATGCAAACTGCGAATGTTCGCGGGCTGTCAAGCGTATAGTTAAAACAATAGAACGTCAGGTTTTTGGATTCCTTTTGAGGCGATTTCGGATTTATTGCACTCCTGTTCACCATCATTCCCAAATCAATTTTCCATGTTATTTAAATTAAGTACGACAAATGTATATAAATATATTAAGATATCAAACTGAGAAGGACCTATTTCCTTACTTAACTTCAATATCACTTTTATTATATATTTTTATAGTTATTTTATGAAGTAAAATGCAAGTAATTTTATTACTGAAACACTCTATTAAAAGTGTAACTTTTTCTACAATGTGGTATAGGAGAAGTATAATATGATTCTCGGATCTGTGTTGCTGTTAAAGGTTCTGAATCAATCAAAACAATACAACGATCAATATAAAATGAGATAAACGTAGTGCGAATCTTAAAAATGTTCTCTTTTGGAATTACACTTTGCCTTTATAGCTGTATCAACCTGTCGTTTCTTACTGACCTGTATTTTTAGAGTTACTTTTACTATGTTACTCGTGAAAATGTTGTGTCAACTTCAATTATAACAGCTCAAGAATTGTATTTGTTTATTACAAAATAACTTTACTTCTGAAAGAATCTATTTTTTTCATTTACACTTGAGCATCACTGGCGTAAAAATTAATTAACTGAGGTCCTATCGAAATAATTTACTTACTCAAATTATATGTGCCCGGAGTGGAGGCTCGCGATCAATTAAATATGAAGACCTCTTTTTTTAATTTTATTTTCAATAACTATCTGTGAATATATTTTAGGTGATTTCTCCACTAAAAAACTTGACCGTTTTATAAGATTTATAAGATATGAACGACACAAATGCCCGTAAATGTGCCAGGGGGAACACTAAACAGATTTATGGAGTCCGAGTCGGAATTACTTTTCTTATCTGGTACCGGTACTCGGGTGGTCAGAAAAAGACATAATCTGGACGTGTATGTAAAATTAAGTTGACTATTTGATATTATATGTTATTTTATCGCATGTATCTAACAGCTAGACTTCTTGTTTTTTAATAAACTGATAGTTGTAGATTGAATAACTGCACCAGGCGTATGATGTACAGCACAACAGTTCACACCTTGGCCGTTTGATGTTCAGTTAAAGTATGAAACTTTTTTTCTTTTAAAACAATGATTTACAAAAGTGCAGAGTGTTTGCTCGTATTCAATTAATATAACATCAATGAAAATGTAATTATCTCTCTTAATTTAATAAATTCACCGAATCATTACGATAAATTTCATTATTTAGTGTCCGTCACTTATATTGTTGACTGGTAAACACATCACTTTAAAATTCCCCTCCATTTGAGCGCTGTGACTCTCTGGAACGAATCATAAGTCGACATTGTTGGTCGATAACTTGGTCGAAGTCGGTCGTGGCCGTGGCCAAATATGGCTTCTGCAGGTGTGATTCGGAGAGTAGGCGTTACCAACCGGGAAACTATGTTCAAGAGATAAATCATCTTAAAGTGTCAAAAGTTCGTGCCCTCTGAAGTGAAAATGTTTTTTGTGACTGTGTAATCGCCATGAATATTACCTTTGAAGGTCAAAGGTTGAACACCATGTTAGGTTATGTGCCTGTGTTTAGCAATGACAGTTGTCATCTGAAACAAAATAAAATCACTTGCTTATAAATCTCTTCACACGGAGGTAAAATAACTGAATATCTGTTAATATATGTAAATGGTGAAATAAATGAGGCATGACATGTTAATTCTTCAGTATATATTCCATGCCATTGTGTACTATTTAAATTGTTTTTTTCCTTTTGTACTCTGTGACATTTAATTCACCTTTTTGGTCTGGCTATCATTCACTTACTCCCATATGATAATATGTCGCATATTCTTGTGTTTTTAATCTTAGAAGGATATGCCATGTGTTCAGACCAAACATTTCTAATGTAATTGATTTTTTGAATTTTTATCGAGTTTTAAATCAGAACCTGACCTCTAAGTTATTAAACTGCTTTGTATAGATCAGTATATAATAATTGCAGATCAAGTTTCATAGTTCAGACTGTCTGCATAGAATGAAAATGAATGTAATAGATCAAGGTTGATAAGATAATAAATGTTTTTAGAACATCACCTTTAGAACAATGGATGGTGAAGAAATTGTTCAGCGTATTTTTGGAAAAGATACCATTTCCTTAGAGCAAAGAAATGCTCTATGCAATTCAAATACTTCTAGTCCACCTGGCTCACGGTATGTACTTTTTTATTTAGTAAAAATGTAATGTTTCTTTTAGTAATTACTTTTTATTCAAATCTACATCAGTAAATTGTGTTTTACAGAAAGAGCATGTGCTTGGAAGTGGCAAAAGAATTGATTGGAAGCCAACTGAATGAATTTGGGCCATCAATTGATACTGTAGGTTTACCTCCAGACACAAGAGAAGGGCGCATTGGACCACCAGTAGTACGTTTTGATATTGCAACACACAGTGGTCTGTTTGTAGTAGGAGCTGACCGGCTGAGTGTTAATTCTCAAAGTAATTTCAGCACAATCAGAGCAAATGCGTGTCTCTTCAAAGGTTAGTGCATTTTTTATCTATCTGCATTTTTAAATTGTTAAGAGTAACTGTCTAAATGATTGTCTTTCAGGCAAATGGCAATATGAACTTCAGTTAGGTTCAAAAGGAGTAATGCAAGTTGGTTGGGCTACCAATTTCTGTAAATTTTCCCAAGAAATTGGAGTGGGTAAGTTTGATTTTTAATAGTAAAAGATATAAAAACTAGTAAGTTTCTATTAATTCGGGGGAAAAAAAGAAAAAAATGTACAGTCATAACAGTCAGTTAGGATATAGTGACCTTGAAAAGAGAGGGAGTTAAGTATAGTAGTTTGGGGTCATCCATAAAACACCCCCTCCCTCACTTTAGAGTCTGTAAAAATTAATGATGTAACACCTACTAATTTGCATTCATTTTATTTATGTTAACATGATAATTAAAACTGGAATTAGTTGTCAGTGCTAACTGCTCCTAAGAATCAGAGTGGGAACACTTTTCAAAGGAAGGAAAGACGACATAGGAGAGAAAATTTCTGGCAAGCCAGCACATGCAATGACTCATTTGGGGGGTCTACAGTGCATATTTAATCCGATTTTAGAATATACTATTGATCAATTTTTAATATATCTGTCATGAAGTAACCAAACACATTGAAACTTTTTTATGTATTTATATATATAAATTTATTAAAATGATGTTTTATTGTTTCATTTAAAAATTCAATTAAAGGAATGATTTAGCAAATGTTAAAACATACAAAAAATAAATATCTACAAAAAACACTAAACTAACATCCCCTACCTCTATGCATCACAGTGTTGTGCTGCTGTATCCCTGCCTCACTCTTCAGCACTACATAATTTGTCAATGACCCCTTGAATGAATTCCCATCTAGTGATGTTTTGTGTGGTGTTTACATGTGTTTGTTAAAGAAAAGAAAAAACAGTCACATTTTTATTTGATATTGACAATTACATGGCACAGGATTAAATATATCTGTGATATTCTGTTTGCACTTTCAAATGGACTAGGAGAGCAAGGAACATAAAAGAAGACAATTAAAAAGTATATGGACATTTCGAATTGCACTTTCCAAATTTCAGAAACAAAAATTGTACGAATATTGAATTTTAGTTTTTAAGTTGTTTTTTTTAATGCTGTTTATTAAGTTAATAAGAAATTTTATTGAGAATTGTGTTATTAACAATAAAATATTTTCTCCTCCGAAATTTCCATCAGCATTTATTGTTAGTTCTTCTAAATTTGACTGTTTATAGGTTTCAGAAGAAGAGAGAAATGATGATTTTCCGTACTTGTAATTTCAGTTTTTAAATTTTTAATACTTATTAATAATTATTATAATTGTTGTTAGGCTCAATTTTAGAAACATCAGAAAACTCAGATATATGTTTACTGCTCATGTTACAGTACTACAGTGCTATAAAATTCCTTAGCTAAGCTAATTCATTTCAAAGTAAAGTTCATGTGAATAAACATTGAATTTTCCAAGATTGCCATTTTGCCGTGGGCTACAAAGGAAAGTTTTTGTTTTTTTTATATTTAAAATTAAAACCTATTGAGACATTGCAACTCCACTTAACAAATAAAGTTACAGCATTTTGTAATTGTTAGTTAAATCAGTTTTTTAATATAAAAAAAAGTAGAATTGTACTAAAACAATTATGAATGTCCATGGCAATTTCAGTGCGCATAAGCGCATTGTACTTTATCTGCTGTGACTAATTATTTTGCAAGAAATTTACTTCGGAATTAAAGACTTAATGAAGAAGAAATGGAAATTCAGGGAAAAGTAAAATCTATTGTCAGATAAAAAATGTTTAAGTCCTTAGAGTGTCTTTTGTTATAATTTTCTTATTCATCTTCATTTTTATAAAATTTAATGTTAAAACTTGCTTTGGCAAAGTAATGTTTGCGCTAATTTTGAATACTCCGTATTTAATGCTAAATATTGTGTCTATAGGTGATACAGCAAATTCATATGCTTATGATGGCAACCGCCAAAGAAAATGGAATGTATCAACTCATAAATATGGGGAGCCATGGTTAAGTGGAGATGTCATTGGTTGCACTATTGATTTGAATGATGGCATTTTGGTGTTTTACAGGTATTAATTTCTACAAAGGCTGAGAATATTGCTGACTATTGTATAAAATAATTAATTAATTTTGTTTTCTTAGAAATGGTAGATCACTGGGCGAAGCTTTTTCTAATATTCAATTAGGACCAGGTATGGCTTACTTTCCATCTGTAAGCCTGGCCTTCACAGAAAATTTAGTTGCAAATTTTGGTTCAACTCCAATGAGATACCCAGTTGAAGGTTTCCTTCCTATACAAGATGCTCCATATAAGGATTTGGCTAAAGCAGAACTGCTGTCGAAGTGGTTGAACCATTTGTTGGAACTTTTGTTAGATACAAGAGAGGTATTAACAAACCAACCCATGTTTAGTTTTATTAGTATTGTTTATTGTATGTATTTAGATACTTGAATATTTACATTTTTGTGAAATACAGTGAAACCTGTTGAACCCTCAATATAACAGACCTCCGTTTAAATTAACGTGTATAAGTTAGTCACAACCTACAAAGAAAATGGTGCAAATGCTGGAAATTGAAAGTTTTTGTATACAAGTTTTTACTTGTTCTTCTCCCATGCAAAAGATCTTAAAGTATTTTGTTCTTTAAGTATCAGAAATTAAAAATGTGTTCATGTCCAAAACATGCTTAACATAATTGCGTATAGCAAAATTAGACTGGATGTTTACTTTCTGTATTTTTATTACTTCCTTCAAGTGACCACCTTTTCTAATGGAAATTTTACTCCAGAACCATCAATGACTGCTTAAGGCAAGATTTCACTGTGTAGTCCATAAGACATGAATTGCATATTTAATTAATTTGTAGTAGTTACACAGATTTTGAGGTGTTTATGTTTGTATTATGAATGTTAATCCATTTCTTTAACAAAAAGTTAGATGGGAATAAATATAAGATCTTTAACTATTTCTGATGAAACTGAACATTCGTGAAGTTGTGAGTAGCATAGATTATAAGACTACATTTTTGAGTAATCAGTGACTAGTCACTAGTCAGTGATCAAAGTATTCATTAATTACATGTACTGTATAGAATTTATTTTATTATGTGAAATCATTATGAATTCCAAAACTTTTTATTTTTATTAATAAGTCCATTTCAGTTAAATCTATTTATAATTATCCCTTAAAATATTTTGCACCCCAAAATGTTTCACCTGTGAATTACCTGCACTGTTGACAGAGATTCACTTTATTGTTCTCACAGAAATAGTGAGTATATTTTTTGGAAATATGCTTGATTTCATTAGGGTAAAAGTCAAAGCATTGGCGTCACTAGTGAGCCTATGACTGATGAAGCTTTATTACTGGCTCTGGCACACACCATTATTGGGCATCTTGCTCCCCTTCTTCTTTCTCCTTACATCACTGAAGCCTGTCTTATGCCATTTCTGGAGAGTTTATGTTCTAATTGCCAACCAAAGAAGGGCAAGGATAAAAGCAACAGGAAGCTTCACCTTTTCCTTGACTTGCTCTGGGCTTTTTTGGAGGTATGGAAATGATAGATGATTTGTCTTTTATTCTTTATGATATACAGACAATTATCACAGCTTTCTATTTATAGGATTTTGAAATAAAGAAGTGTTTGGAACATGTTGTCACGCATATGCTCTCTGATTTTCGTCATGTATCGTTTGTTCTGGAGTACCCACATCAGAAGAAAACATTATCATTGTTGCTCTGCCTTGTAGATCATCCTCAAACCAGGCATCACTTACTTGAACATGTTCTGTTTGATAAAGTTAGGTAAGTAATATGAGTGTATTATGTTGCTTTCTTTCTCATACCAGTTTGAGCATAAAATAAATCTTCTTTTTAGATTTGCAAATTTTGTCCATGTGAAACCTCTTGATGAGGGAGGCCTTGCAGAAGTTGTACATACATCATGGTGGGACTCAGGAAAACCTGACCCATCAATTGACCATAAGAAGTCATCTTATTTACGTGCATGTAAAGAAATTCAGAGAGCCATTGCTGGTAGGTGATATGTAAGAGTGTGAACTCTTGAAAGTTGTCTGGTATTGTCTATAAAAATTCTATTTCCCTTGAATTTTATATTACGATGGTTAACATGATTGTTTTTGATTTCAGAGGTTGAGAACCTTCAAGTACAACTTCTAAAAGCACTTATGAACAACACAGATGGTACTGCTACACGACCATCATCCCGAAAAATATTTCTTCGTAAATTTCGAACATTTTTGCATGAAAACTTGATTTCAAGTCGAGTAAGTTTCTTTTTTTGTCCTTTTCAAATTATTTCTAATTCTTCAACTTGTTCACATTAAACATTTAGAATTCTCTATTAGAAAAATTTATTGTAATTCTTGTGGAAAAGTTTGTTTTCAAACACTACCCATATTACTTACGGCAATTACTAAATTATAATATATCTTGATAATGCTCAGAGATTACTAACCCTTAGTTGTGCTTCTATCATACTTTTATTATTTTCATTACTCACGGTCATGCTTACATTTGTTTTTCTCATAGTTGTGCTTCAGTACTTTGTCAGCCAGATTTTTAATTCCTGTTTTTGTATTTCTCATTTCTATTTGAAAACATAAACAGAATTTAATGTTTATAATTACAGTTTATCACAAGTTTCAGCTGTATTTCATTGTTTTTGGTTCAGGAATTAATTCAAAATGGGCTTTGACACTACTCTCATGGTAACATGTTAATAAATTAAATATTCAGATGCAATGAAAATATTGTGATAAAACTATATAACTGTGAATTGCTGTATGGTATGGTATTTAACTTAACATGATATTCTCTCACCTTATTGGATGCAATTGCGCTTGTGGAATATATTCCGCAGTCATAAAGAAATCCAAATTGTGACCATGTTACTGAGTAACAATGCATTTTAATAATTAAATTTGTTGACAGAGTTGGTTGCTGTAGGGTAAGAATAATTAAATTAAATTTGTTTAAAAAATTGGTTGCCGCAGGGCAACCAATTCTTTGAACAAATTTAATTATTAAAACGCATTGTTATGCAGTAACATGGTCTCAATTTGGATTTCTTTTACAACTGTGGAATATATTCTCTGAGTGTAATTGCGTCCAACAAGTTGACGGGAATGGTGACAATTATATATACATACAAGGATCAATATCGCTCTGTTCAAAGGATTGGTTGTTTTGGTAGCTTGGCGGTTAGTGCAGCTGGGAGTAAACCAGAAGGCCGGTGTTCGAATCCTGGGCAGGGCATTGTTTTATTATACAATTTTATCAATATATGTCCATCTTGTATTGATCTTTAAGCACAACAAAAGACATATCACCAAAACAATGGACAATAACAGTGGGTCAGTTATGTCATTCTCACAATAAAACAAAAAGTTACAGATACTCTCTCGCAGAGATGACACTGTGAATAAATGAAAAAATTACAAATGGTAGATATTTGACTGTTGGGCTAACTGAGGATTAAGAGCTTAATTTGTTTCTTTGTGTTTTACATTGCTTGCAAAATGTGTCAAATTAATGTTGTTATTTTGTTTTCATGAAGGCAAATTCTATTATACGTAGATATTCATGACTTAAAATGATTCTAAGTGAAAATTTTCTTATAAGAATTTCTTTTCTGTTGATAAAGATATTAAAAAAAATTTAAGAATGATTCTGTATCAAATGTGTGAACAACACATTTATTTGAATGCTAGTTAATCACAGGATTATGTTTAAAAGTAAAACAATATATATGAATATTTCTTTTTAATTCAGTGAAGCCATTTCTCTTTTTTGTTGTAAACCACTCAAGAAATGCTCATGCAGTACTAATGATGTTTCATAGTTTATGTGAAATAACTTATCAGTTTCTCTGGATGTGATACATACAGCTTAATTTAAAATCTGTGGGACCCCTCAAGATCAAAGTCCTGTTGGGGAGACCCCTCTCCAGAAAATACTCTCCAGATTTACTTTAAAACAACATTCCTCGTAATAGAAGTAACTTTTTGTACAAATAAATATGAAAACTAATAAATAGTTAATTGAATTGAACATTCTTTTTATTATTTAAATATATTTTTAATTTCTAGTCACAAAACAAATCTATGCTTAGTTTTTTATTACTTTCAACACTTAATTTTTTCTATTCTTGACTACAGAAAAATGGTCAATTATGTATTGAAAGCAAAGAGTTCAGATTATCATACTTCTTACTCATAATAGTACAATAGACTATTTGGTTAATAATTATTTTGAAGATGCATATTTTGAGAGTTTAAAAATATTTTACGGATTTTGTTCATGATGTGTCTCTCTTCTTACTCCCCAAGCGGGCCCTTGCAATTGCTTATTTTGCTTGTAGGGTAAATCAGGCCTCTACCAAGATAATCCACTTGATGTTAGAGAAACCCCAAATAATAGTGAGGCGTGCAGTCCTCTCTTCTTGCTGTGGTGCTCATTGTCTATTTCAGGAACTTTTCATTCTTCTCTTGTTTACATTTTTTGAAACATTGGGTCTTATTATCATTGTTGTGTATTAATCTTAGTAGTGGTAATTGTAGTCATATTAGTATTTTTATTTCAATTAATTTTTTTAACTTGCATGCAATTTTCAATAATTCTTTGAAGTATTATTCTTGAAATAGAGATTTCAAATTTGTATCTTTAATAATGTGGAGAAACTGATTGACGTAGTAATACAGAATTAAAACTACTGATACTAAAAACCTTAAAATAACAATATAGGTTATTGTAATGTATAAAATCAGTAAAAAAGAATTTTTCAAAATTCATCACCCTGGAAGGATGAAATAGAATTTGAAGGTTCAAAAAATAGTTATTGTTCAATACTGTAAATCTAGGCATTATAGATTGTGGGACAGTGATGTGGCTTGAGCTGTTGGGCCAGGGCTGAGTGAAGCAGGACAGGTCAGGTCACAAATGGAAAGAGCCGGGATGAGTATGAGTCTGGCTGGGGTAAAGCTGAGAGGGTAGAGATGCATATAAAATAACTTCTAATTTACTCTAAATGGAATGCATTCTATTTCCTCTCTAATATATTATTATAATTAAATATTATGTGGATAATGCTAGGTAGCTTCAGCTAAAAATAATAGTTATCAAGTGCTCGACATTATTGTTTTTTCTTCAATCAATATAGATGTACATTTTGCATCAATCCAAAGGTTGAGGCCAAAAAACAATCAAGATCATGCAAGAAGCAATATTTTCATGAAGCATGTACAATTTGCTTCTATGATCATAAGAAAATACTTATTATTTGTTTAATCTCTCCTTGTCATAGTTATTGAAACAACAATGATTTTCTTGCAAAGCGTACCAATGATCTTTCACACTGTGACATGACATCACTGTGCAAATGAGTTATTTTTGTTCAGTGATGTCACATTTTTTTTTCCTAAAATAACTAACCTCAAGCACAGGTACCAACAATTCATAATATCCCACATTTTTATATTATCGTCAAAAAAGTATTTTGGATAAAAAGTGCTGAAGAGCCATTTCAAAGTTGTCCATATTCTGTGTGGTTTTCAAAATATTAAATTAGCTAAATTCTGACTGCAGTGGTACACTTTTATGGCAAATAATGTTTTAGTGAGAACTTACTTGATGTAATGAGCATTATGTATACTGAAAATCCTCTCAAAAAGGTAGGTACACCCATAAAAAAATAGTATTTACAGTTCAGTTTCTTAGCAAGAAGTTCAAAAAGCCAAAAAACATTGTTTTCAGGGGTTTGTGGGTCTTCTGAACACCTTGTAAATACCTACTGTTGATGCTGGAGTTGTTTTTTCATTGGAAACTAAAAAAATTTCAATAACATATTGAAAAAACAATTATTTATGCAGCCTATTGTTTACATAACTTTTATAAGCCTATGATGTCTCTCTAATGTAAGCATATTCCTGGTATAATATTTTTACAACTAAAGTGCTGCTCGGGTCAGAATTTAAAGCTGCTAGTGGGGGTGGATGAAGTTTCAAAATATTATGCCTTACATTTAACAAAACATAAGCTAGTGAGTATTGAAGTTAAAGTATTTGCCATTCTGCAGAAAGTACTTAGTCAATTCTTTAATTCAATCAGGATATTTACATATTCAAATCAATAGATTGTTAGCACAATAACTTAAAACAGATCCTGTTTATGAATCTAAAATTTGATACTGATTTTTTTCAGAAAAGAGATCATAATTTTTTTGTAAAATATAAAGTTCTTAAAAGAGGAAATATTTTAGAATATTGCCTTCCCACTACTTTGTTCTGAACTCTTCATCTTCCTTTCATGGTTTTGGCCAGGAGGTCTGTTGCAGCTTTACTCCATCGTTGCCTTGGTCGACTAGGGTCTCTTTTGCGGGTGGTCGGTAATGGTAGGCTACTTTTGTAAGCCTATTACCTTCCATCCTTTGTAAGTGTTGTGTCTATGCTGAATATTTCTCTTTTATTTTGTCTAATATGAAGAAAATGTTGAAATATTTTCGGGTACTTTTATTTCTGAACTTTGCTAGGAGTCTACAGCCTTTTACTGCTCTTAGAAACCTCATTTTGGAAGCTTGTAAGAACTTCCATCACCTTAAATCTTGATGTTGTGGAAAATGCAAGATTCCTTGGGTAGCATCAATCACTGGTACGCTTGAACAATAACTGCAGTTGTAAATTTCACAAACTGTTATGTTGTAATGAAAACTGAAACACTAAAAATCAAAAATTGAATCAGGCTGAGGAGAAAGGGGACAAGTCCTTTTTTTTTTTTAATTATTTAAGAGTAAGGAAGCATTAAATAATACTCAAGCATTTTATATTATCCTGTCCAATTTGTCTGTTAGAATTCACTGTAATAACAGTAAATTGTTTTTTACTGTACTTTCTACTAAACAACTTCTATGTGTCAGAATTCAGGTTTAATTGATGTTGACATGTTTCCTTCCTCCACAGGGACAATCGAGTTTAAAGAAAATTGGGTACCGAAATCGTAAATGCAATAAATTTTAGAGAATACTGTTTAAGAATATTATATTTGTTAGGACAATCATTTATCCAAAGAAATATTTGAGTAGCAAATGTATCAGCTCTTTTTTGAAGTTCATCCTCTGCTGCATTGTCACACAAAAATGTACTCTCAATTTTTGCTCCAAGCTCTTCACATTTGGAACAAACATCCTTCTTGAGGTTTACCAAATGTAAGTTAAACATTTTTCTTAAAAAAAAAAAAAATGGTATTGCATACCATGTGTACACAGGCGCATCTAGATATTCAGGCACCGACGGGGAGCAATGAATTTACACCCGGCAGGATTCTTCAAATGAGGGTGGCTCTGTGAGTGACTTCCATGGCTTGTGCTGTGTCTGTCATACCATACATACCCCACTGCATGCATTGTAAACATTCAAACTCAAAACTGTAGTACTGAGGAGTAATAGAACATGCCAATTACTTCATCCCTTCTATTTTACAATGTAGAAGCCTAAATACTTTATGACATGTTCCTTTCTTATAATACAATTTGGCTTGGCCATAAAGAAACAACTTTCAAAATAAAATAAAAAAATCACTTTTGACTTATTTCCTTTCTCCTCATTCTGATTCAATTGTATTGTGCCTCCTGGAAGAAAAAAAGGTCTTGTAAATCTTCATAAGCATTACATGAAAGTAATAGTGTAAGTCATTTCTTTGTTCTTAAATTTTGAGTTTCATTAATTAATTCACATGCTTTCTTTGATATTTAATATCAATTACAGATGTTGATTAGTGGATTTTTCAGCAATATTGCTCTTTAGTTATTGTTTTACTTATGACAGATTATTTTAGGAGCTTCACATTGTTTAACTATTCTAGTTTTTCAATACATTAGAAACATCCTTGGTACTAAAAGTACATAATTACTTGGAAATACATTGAATTGCTTTAGTAACAGTTAGAAATGCAGAAACTAACAATTATAATGGCTCTTCTTTTATAAGGTGCATTGATTTGGAGATTCATTAAAAAGTAACTTAGAGTCTTCTGTCAGTTGTACAAAGTAAATCTGGAAAATATTTTTAAAATGGTAACTTGAAAAAATAGTCAATTCAAATGTAGTGAATGTAGTTTTTGGCATCAAGTCTTGTAATTTTCTTGGTGTACTATATTCAGTAATTCTTCTTTTAGTTACTTAATCTAATGTAATAAATGAATCACGAGTTTAATTTGATGGGTCTTATAAAGCTGAAAAAGATACTGAAGATAATCTCTTTCATATTTTCTTCTGTTTTACTACTTCTTTCTCTTCATTCTGCATATTGTTTTAATTTACTAGATAGCCCAAATTCTTGACAATTTCTGATATAATTAGGAATTTCCTGTTCGTATTTTTATACATTCTATGCATTGGCAATATGCTGTTGGTGATAGTTTTCAAATTTTACTGTTAAGACCTTAGAAGTACATTAATGTTTTCTTGTAAATTCACAATTTTATTACAAACTTCTCCAGGCTAATAGAATCATTTGAACATTTTCGTGCTCAAATCAACAATCAGTCAACTCACATCAACACAAACTTCGAAGTGAAAATATCTGGTTTTTCAAATGTTGCTAATCTCACGCTTTTTAAAATTTATTATTATTATTATTATTATTATTATTATTATTATTATTATTATTATTATTATTTTAACTTTAATTCATCTTTCAACTATGTATACTTAAAATGTGGGAAGGGATACATGCACCATGCACAGATGGTACTTCTCCCCCATACCTCACATACAGTTTTGGCCCATGTTGCTACATTGCAGAGTTTAGCTTGGAGTCTGCATTGCTGCTGACTATGCAGAGATTCTGACCACAAGGTCCCAGAGTTTGAGCTCCAACAGTGACAGATCTTCAACATTAGCTAGATAGCTAGTTCAAATTTAGCCACTATCTGAAAGCAAATTCTAGTGACTGGCTTGTCTGATCAATAGTTTTCCTGATTACTTGAATGAATACTATATGAATGCTGGAGCAGTGCCCTATCATATGGAGCACAGTGCATATGTGATCTTTCCTTCCTTTTCCTTGTTCTATTCACACACATATACACTTACAAGCATTACACTATCGTATGTGTCTGGAGCTTAGAGCTTGTCTCAGCTGGAGCTGTGTCCCACTAGGGAGCTACCTGTAAGAGTGACATCCCTCATAACCTGACATGTAGGTTGGTGCCAAAGCATAAGGCTAATAAGATTTTTTTGAAATAATTAAAAATTAATATGCTGTAAAGAAAGCATGTTTTAAGAGAAACTGAAGAGGAAAATGCTATCTTCTCCAAAGGCACAAATGAATGGATTGCTGGAAGTGGAATGAGGCCTTACATTGACTGTTAGAGGTGTTAGAAGTAAAATCCTTTGAGTGATGGGGAGGAAGCAGGGTGAACTTTGGAAGGAGGAGAAAGGTTTTTCAAAAACAGTAAAAGAATTGTGGTTATGAAATGTTGAAAAAATATTTTTTAGCATCACCACTAGTAATTGGAAAACAATTTAATCTTTGAAGGAATGTGTTCATATACTTTATTAACCCATTCACATCAGGTTTCCCCCTCCCTTTGCTATAGCCTACCCCTCAGATTTAAATGCCTTGGTCTAATTTGTTTATGCAGAACTTCAGTTTAAATATTATAGAAGCACTAGGAAAGAGATCACCGTATTCCAACATAATGTCCGGATACACATTAGAATAAGCCGTAAATAGAAATATGTTACATACGTTCCACCTAGAACTCTGTTTTCAGTTCCTTGAGTATTGTGGACTGACACACACATGTCTCCAAAACCACAAAACACAGTAAGGTCATTCTCAGTCATGATATCTGGGAGTCTTCAAAAGATGAGAATGGATTAAAAGCAGTGTTCTTATTTGACTGTAATGAAAATGAGTTAATTTACCAAATTTTCTCAGTAATTTAATAGCTATTAATTTAAAGAATTAAATCTCTTTTCTAATTCTTTCAAGCATTTTGCAATTCTTATGATTCTTCTTTTTTTATAAAAAATTTTCTGTATTACTTCAAAATTATTGTGCTTTTTTTCTTATAAACATGATTGGTGTTAAAGTAAGAAAATTATGAATTGAAATATTGTGTTGTACTCCTGAAATGAAAGAATGATTCCAAAATGATGAACATACTATATAATTCGCTTAAATGGAAACATGGAGAGTTCATGAGAAGATTCTTGGTTTATCAAAGCATATATCATACAAGATTGTTTAGTATAAATGTATTATATATGGAAATACATTAAAGTAGTATATTCACACATAGACTTGTATGTTTCCTAAAATCTAGATCTTTTTATTATTAAAGGCAATTTTACAATGTAACATATCTTGGTAAAATTATTTTTTCACAGACAATGCCATTATTGCAAACACCACTACCAATCACACTGTGCTGTTTTCATCGCCTGCTTGTGACATTTAGAGAACTGTGGGCTGCTGAAGTGGATGAGCAGCGCTTATTTATACCAACAAGGACATTTTACGATGGGAGCATAAACTATTACAGCATTGACAGGTTGGGTGGTGTTGTTTCACATTTGAATAAGAGTTTACGTGAAGATCTTGTACGTGAACTAGGCCCTGAACATAATGTTGTTGCTGGTACTGAAACCAATTCTAATCTTCATTCAGTGGATCCAGGTATAATTTTGACTTATTTCAAAATGCAATATATTTATAAATATATTGGAAATATTGTAAATAGCTATTATAAATCCATATTTATTCTTATTTGTCTTTACTCTTACTTTGATTTTTGTCAAAAACTAGCTGTGAGTTGCTCCTCTGTATCATCCATATTCCCTCGATTCCTTTTTGCATTCTGCATCTCCTTTTATCTAAGTTTTATGCCTAACATCCTTATTTTCTGCTAACCCAAACTACTGAAAGTATTCTTGTTATTGTTTATTATGTTATTTTTGTGTGTTGAATAGTGCACTTATCCTTATCCTATCCTGCATGCCTCCTTATTGACCTTGTATTTTGCGTTGCGTGTGATCTCTTTTAGTTAGTCAGTTGGGAGCAACATTTCTTGCTGGTCCATCCATGAACCTGAGTAGGTCATTTGAAGGCCCTGCCAACTTGATGATTCCAGTTTTAGCAAGATTGCTAACTCAACAACAGACTTCTTCAGGCCCTTTGTTGGTAGAACGAATTACAGGGGTCCCGCCACGTCTAACGGAGAAGAATACAGCTGGCCCTGCGGATCCTTTTGCTTCACTCATTGAATTACTGGACGGACTGATCCTTTTCTACCATGTTGCTGCTCACAAGCAAATAGCCAAGGTCAGTGTATTCTAAGTTTACAAGTTGGATTTTTTTATGTGCTGAAAAGGAGTGTAAGGGGAAAAAATCTTTGAATAAAATGACAAAATGTTTAAACTTCTTGTCAGAAATTGAGAACATGTAATGTGTTTTTCTTTTCAATCATAGGTGAGTACACTGCGTGAAAGCATGCATGAATATACAACTGCACTAGAAAGCACCAGAAGTCGACAAGATGCAGTCCAACAAGCTGCTTCATCTAGTACTGCTGCTGAAGAAAGTAATATAGATGAAATTTTGAGAGAATTGAACCAAACCTGTGATGTATTTACTACGAAGTTGAGTGAACAAGCTCGCCATATGGCTTGGGTTCGAGCTGCGGTGTATTCCAGTGAAAAACAGTCACAATTGGCTTGGCTGTTTCGTGTTGTGCTAACTACTATGATGGAAGCATCAAAAACAGATGGGCTATTCAGTTTTGTCCCAGAGTTTTATTTGGAAACTTTGGTTGAATTATGTACAGCTTTACGAACATTTTTACATCCTACTGCACCCATAGAAGATGTAAAGAGTAAGTAAATATCTGTAATTCACATATTGCTTTTGTCCTTTATCAATTGCTGAAATATCGGGCTTTTGACTCTCCACAGATGCAGATCAATTATTGATGGAGATGGGAAAATTTTTGGCCAATCATTTTGCTGACACACGTATTGTACATGCTAATTCAAAAGATACTTTAATTCAGTCTTTGGCAACATTTGTTTGCAGCCCTAATACTTTGCAAGCTTTAGAACGTTGTCCTGTTGATAGGTAAGGTGACGATGAAATTAATTTCATGGTGATCTTTCAAAGCAAGGAAATCTGTCTGATTTTGTGTCATTGCTGCAGCTGTGTTTAGCAAATATCTTTTGTTGTACCTAGTATTAATAATGTGAACAAATTCTACTTAAAAATATTCATGTTTCTGTGTTGCTTTAATGTTGAGTACTTTTAACGGCTTTCATTGGTTTGAAAGGTTTTCATTAACAGCAGAACTTTCATATTTATGTGCTAATCTTCCTGCTTTTGACATAGTCGTATGGCAATGGTTCGATCTCTCTTGAGGCCTTATGAAAATCGTGCATGGGCCCAGAGCAACTGGGTTTTGGTGCGAATTTGGCAAGGATGTGGTTTTGCCTTCCGATATCACAAGTCCCCACACTTGTTAAGAAAAATGGGACCAAAACTTCTTCACTCTGATTCTAATCTCATCAGTCAGAGTATAAGTAAGGAATGGTTTAATCAATAAATTGAACATTATTTAAAATTATATGTCCTATTTGTACGTTCTCTAAATTACTTAATTTGATTGTTTCTATTTCCAACTTTCAGAACCTTGTCCATCAAAATTATATCAGAGTCATGTGAAGGAAATAATGCTAGGTGATGAACCCCTTGCAACGTCATTTCTTAATTCTCTGTTGAACCAGCTAAACTGGGCATTTTCTGAATTTATTGGAATGCTTCAAGAGGTAAATGAACAGATCAGTTTGTTTAGATGATCATTTCAAATGTCATTCATAAACTATACTACAAACTGTGTTATTCCTTTAGATTCAGAATGTATCAAGTCGACCAGAACGAGTATTTATTGAATCCCGCCAACTCAAAATATGTGCAACATGTTTTGATTTAACTCTTGCTTTGTTGAGAGTTCTAGAAATGGTTGCAAGTGTGGCAAGTCCAATTTTTACTGACAGCAGTCGCGTTTCAGCTGACTCACTTCTAGCAAGACTTTGCCAGCTATTGTGTCAGGTGTTAAACAGAGTCAGTTCTCAAGCTGGCTGTTTTCAACATGTGGTCACTCTTGAGATACCTGATCTTGAAACAGTTGATCACTTCCCTATTCTTGCTGCAGTTGTGGGTATTCTTCTGGCTTTGTTGAATAAGGAGTTGAAAGAAACCAATGGTAATATTTTATTTTATTTTCTTCTACAAATTGTATTGAAAGAAGACACATTTATTAGTGTATTTTCCCCATTTGTTTCAGTGAAAGAGGATCCTATTCCTAAAGTGTCTTTGGCACTCTTGTTGGAACCAAGCTTTCAACTTGAGTCCCTGAATTTTGTCCTTGGAAATTTCCATAAAGATTCAAAGCTTAGGAATAAAATTTTCTCTTTCCGTAATTGTAAGTAATATAATATTATGCACTGTATAAATTGAGGTGTCAAGTGATTGTGGCTTTTGGCTATGGAATTGATGAAGTGGCTGCCTACCTCTTCAATGTTTGATTGATCCAAAAAGATTCATTGTTTAGTAATTTTGTTTATGATTGATAATTATAATCTTGAATAAATAAATAATTCCTTAAGTTTTTTAAGAATTTCAACTCTTTGGTAATTTTGTGATCTATGATTTAATGAATTCAATTACGTCATGTTGTCTAATATATTTTATCTGTATTTTCTAAAAGTATATTGGGTAAAGTTTTATTCTTAGATCATTGCTACAGATCAAGTTGTGTTTTAAAATATTATTGACTTTGGTTCTTGATTAAAATTGAAAAATACCTTTTTCTTGAATGAAATTGATGAATTTATTATTGAAGTTTTGTGTGCTAACTTGTTAGTAACTTTGTTTTACAGACACAGATGATGTTAATGACAAGGAAATTGATTCTGTCCAACAAATGATTTCATTTTTAACTGCATTGAGCAGCAGAGTAACCCATGCTGAAGTATCGGAAGAACAGTTGTGTACAATTTGTTATGCTTATCCTATATCTGCTACTTTTAAACCTTGCAACCATCAGTCTTGCAGGTTTGTGTTGCATGCATTTATTGATGGAATCCAATTTGGGTAAATTATTGTGAAAGATTATCTACTCCTTTTTATTTTCAGATCATGTATAGCACACCATCTGATGAACTCCCGAGACTGCTTCTTCTGTAAAACTCCAATTGAAAGAGTGCTGAGTAGTGAAGGAGAAGTACTTCATGAACTTCTTCAGAAAGACAGGCTTCCTGTTAAAGCAAACTAGTGTGAGAAATATCTTGCTTTCACCTAATTACTATTTATCACTGTTGCTTCCCACATCATTGGTTAAGCAACAAGATTGTAAATGGAGTTTGTATGCACTACTCCGCTGTACAGGGTTAGTGATATTGATTTATTTGTAAACAGATGAAGGGCACATAATTAAAATAATCTTTTGGTAACATTCGCTTGGCAACTTTTTATACAATAATAAATAAATTGAGACTTCTATTGTGATGCTTTCTTATCTTACGTGAGAAGATTGAACACTTGAAACTAGTTCTTCTACTGTAGGAAATTACAACACATTGTGTGCCTGAGCTTTGATGCATAGGTATTATTATGAAGGATTGTGGATGTGTACTTAATTAATACTAGATTTCCCAATCTCATGTGTATTGTTGTTGACTGGCCTGCTAAAAGTAGGCAGTGTTTTATTTGTAAATATTCTCTGCTGGCAGACCGATGAGATTCATGTTTTCTTTTCCATACACCAAAGCTTTTGGTGTCCGCAGTGAGCTGTTTTTATATGAATTTAAATGCTCTATTTCTATTGGTGTATGTTGTATTTTTGTAAAAGAAAAGGAAAGTATTTTCTATTCTTTCTGTGTGATATTTATTTCAGGAGCAAATTAAAGAAGAGAGGTTTTTTGTAAATCTTTATATGCATATATTTGTATGTATCCTTGTAAATAGTGAATTTCTGGCCCTTCATTACCAATTATTACAACTTTGTGTTAGTAGAATTTTCGAGTGAGAATTTGTTGTGAATTTTATTGTGTTGTGAGTTATTGCCTTGATATTTTATTTATGAAAAATATTTACATTTATATAATAATAATGTGATCCATATTTATGGTGAGTTTAAGTAGTATTATTAAAGTACTTAATTTTGTCCAATCTTATTACAATTGAAGTCCTTCCAAAGAACGTTTCAGTAAATCTTGTCCTGCTATTTCCTGTTCTTTCCATGCTACCTTTTATGAAAATGGAAGAAAAATTGAGTGTACAAGGACACTTAAATCTGCTGTGCATAATTTGAACTGTTTATTCAGTTTTAAGCAATAAAAACTGAGACAGATAAATAGGTAATTCCTATGTTTTGTTTATTTAGATAAATACTCCAAAAAGAAAAAACAAAATGAGACCAAAGGAGACAATGGATGACTATGGATGACAAATGTTAGAATCTTCCATGAATAGTTGAGGATTTGGGAATGTCTAGCGTCTTCGTCCAAGACCAGTCCATAACCAGTTGGGATCATAATGATTGCTGCCTCGCAGACTAGCTGGCTCAGGCTCAGCAACAAAGTTGCGGATCTTATGAGATGGCCGATGATTGCGCAGTGCGTGGAGATAAGCAGCAGTCGCTCTTGGCCGAAACGCACGTTCTTGTTCTGAAATTTAATACAAGTAAATTAAAATGGACTCTTACAACATCTTATAATCTAAATAAAAAATCTAATGTATCACTTCATTTTGAATTATCTGCTTTTTTCTAACTTGAGATGAGAAAAATTAAAATTATATAACAATGTTTTAATAGTTAATATCTAATTATCTGAATGCAGAAAATGCATATGTGACTTACCAGAAGCAAAGGAGCTTTTTCACACTAACAGGTATACAACAGTATGACAGTATTAGTCTGCAGCAGTGTGGCATGCATTCCAAAATCATTTGTTTGGAAATTTTTAAATCTATTGATTGATTATCAAATAGTCTTATTTCACTGAACTCCCAGAAAAAGTTATATTCTGACAACTGAAATAAATTTTGTTTGACCTGTACTTGCCATTTTGGCATTTTTGAGACTAAATATTTGTATGAAATAATTCTTAATTATCGAAATATTTGGAGAACAGATACACTGAGTAGCGGCCACACTTTGTCTTCTAATTCCCTGAATCTGCTTTGAAAATCAAATTATTTTCTAATAAAGGAGCTAGTTAACAAATATACAATTCCCAAAATTCAGTTTGCAATTTGTTTAGCGCTTTATTGGTTATTTCCATTTTAATCTACAATTGTGAATTGCCAATAGTTTGAATGAAAGTCAAAATAAAAGGTAAAACATCCAGAAGCACTAGTGAAATATAACATTTTTAAACACTTCTGTTTTGCCTCAAGTTATTATCAATTTTGCTTCTTAAAGCAATGATGTTAATTACTAATATGTTTATACCTGCTATTGCAACAAATACTCAAATTAAAAGTTATTTGGAGTCTGCTGTGCCACTGTTGAAGGAACATGTCATTGTTGTTTAAAAGAAAATACAGTGCATTTTTATCATTTTGCAGATCATGTATTGATTTGATATGACTGTATTTTATAGATGTGCGAACATCATATTACTTACTTTTCAACTTTTTTACTCAAAATAGTAAATTTTAAAACTATTTCATCACAAATATTATTTTATATTTCATCAGTAATATTATTTGTTATATGTATTGTTCACAGAATAATGTCATATTTGAGAATTAAATAAAATGGTCATTGCATTGCATCAGAGCCTAGCAAGAAGTTCAGATGCACTGTTGACACAGTTTACTTTTACGTTGTGTAAAACAAAAGAAAGTAGATGTAAAGTGAAAACGAATGACATTGGCCCAAAGTTATAGCTAGCGGTTGGTGGGGGAAGGGACAATTACCAAGTGCTTAACCAGTAACCGTTAGTACTTGTCCATCCTCATAGAAACTGGTTAGGAGGTATAGAAATTAAATAAACATTTTACTCGTGAAATAAAATTTTGATGAAAAATATTAAATTTTTATTACTAATATTATAATGTGACTTTTTTCTTCAGGTAATCATGCAAAATCATGTATATTGCAAGATTTCTAATTTTCTCTTTAAAATAGTTTTATATGTTCCACTTAAATAAAATTGCTCTGAATTTACAAAAGTTCTTGAAAAGTTCCTTCTGCTTCATTATCATTATCTAAAAAAATTTTGCTTCATAAAAGTTGTCATTCCCTAAAAAAATTGTCCCTCTTGCACAAATTCTGCCTGTCACTATAACACTTCTTGAGGGGAAAAAAACGGCAATGGTGCACACAATTTTTAGTTTTAATTTTACAAATTAGAATGCAAGTGAGTTGTTTCAGGTAAAAAACCACACTCGCTGTGTACTGTACCACATAATTAAAGCCCAGAAATTTTGCAAAATGTATTTTTATTATTGTTACAATGCTTTGACTTTTGACAATATTTAATTGTTCTTCTGAAGATTTGGTATATTTTCATTTTGCCTATTTTTGGCATTTGACTTTTTTTGTTCATCATTATTTTGCTTTTTTTTTTCATTCCTGGCACCGATTTTGATCAAGTTGGAAACATGCCAACAAGGATAGACACATGAAGGCATGGTAGTGTCTTTTGTCTTTCTTTGGAAGGGTAGGCTCCAGGGCCATTTAGTGTTAAAATTGTAAATGAAAAAGAAAGATGACATCAGTCAAGATTTTCTTTTTTTTTTTGCATTTGTGCCAAAAAGCTCACGAGTAATCCTATCCTACTATTGAGTATGGCCTCCGATCGCTTTTGACGACAGCTACCTGTACATGATGTACCCTTCTCAGTACTGGTGACTGCACTATTGCGAAGAACGAGAAATATAATGATGCCATTTCAAGATTCAAAAGGAAGTCCTCAATAACATTTCGAAGGGACAGCGTCAAGAGTAAAACAAATTTGTAGGTATCATACCAGGTGGCCTTGTGGAATCTATATTACAAAGAAAAGAACAATTCCTTCCACATAAGTGCTGAAGTAAATCCTAGAGTTAGAATATAAATGGGAATTGTTTCAATTACTAACTTTTTGCAATAATTCCTTTATATTTTTTGTTGTTTACATGCCTTTATGCACCCTTATTGTAGACAGAATAATACCGTCTTCACAACTTTGCGCTACAGCCTTCGTATGTCAGTTCCATTAAATAATATTCATTTTACCGAATCAGTAAACCGCAATTGCAAATTATGCAGAGCTATCATATTGCCCCGTCAACTAACTACCTATCTATTTTTATTAGTTATACTGTGTCTCAGATCTTTTAGGTCTGGACGTAGACTGCCACCAACATGTTAATAATGAAGGGCTTCTAGAAAAAACAAAGCATTAGTCAAAAATTCCCATTTGTGGGAAACGAGAAAAAACCGCTATTCTTCCTAACTCACCTTCCTAGTTCACCATTTTTTCTTCGCTCGTTTTCTTTGGGACTAATGCATTTTAGGCTCAGTCGATATTATTCTCATGCATAAAAGTTCACACCACAAGATGGCTTCATTAACTCTTATTTTCTTAATTTTGGACCTTCGCAATTTTTCGAGAAATCCTCCAATTAAATGCAAATCTATGCTTATATATTCTAATCCTTTTCGTTTACTGGTGAAATTCTGTTTTCTCAAAACAAGTGCTACCTGTAACTTCGACAGGAAATATAATTGACCTGGCTGCAGCGGCAGCTGCGCCAAAAACATGAGATACTCATTGGTAGTCTGCTCAATATGAAAAAGAGGCTTTTGAATTTTATTTGGGGTTTACAGTCATTTTCAGGACAATAAATGTTAACCGCCTAAAACTTTCCTCGCCTAGAAATGTTTGATACCCGCGAATACATAGAAACCATTTTAGTGTTGTGTTTTAGTGTCCCGGAAATAAATTTTTAGGAAAATAAAATATAAATTCTTGAATAACAATTTATAAAACTTGCAAATTGTGTTAGAAAAGCTAGTTTTTTAATGTTCAGAACATAGAAATTATGATTATGACGAACGCGTGTACTTGGCGGTAAATTGTGCTTAAAGGCTTCGGTTTACGAACATCGAGAAAAGGATGAGGTGAATCGCAAAGTGGAAAGGTGGGCGTGTGTCGATCACACTGACATCCCCCTAGACCCGCCTATAGCGGAAACCTCCCAGAGGATCTAATTAAGAGTTTGAAGTTACTGCGCGTGTTCTGCTGGGACCAAGATTCCACTTTATGGAAGGTTCCTTGTAGCTTCCCTATAAATTTCTTTAAAAAAAGGGCATATCAGCGAGAACTGAGGTTGGCCCTCGGCTGCATTTCATCCTCCTTTCTCTGAAGAAAAGAAAGTAACTCGTTTGATGTTTTTTTCTCGGTAGATTATTATAATACGATTTTTATTCATTTCTCCTTAATCGTTGTGCCATCCCCTTGGCTAGGATTACGAAGTTAAATAAAAATCTACTTGTTAATAACTTGTTTCTTTATGATGGTTTAAGTAACTATTTGTCTTTGGTACTAAGGACGACGCATAAATAAGAAAGGCAGAATTGTAAAATACTATCTGGTCGTGTTTTGCAAGCCCTTGCAACTGAAAATAAATAACTCTGAAAGACTATGTTGAAATTATTTTTTTCACTTAGGTTCTCTGGGGCGCTCAGAAAGGGAGGTGGGGCCACTTGCCCCTAAGACTTGACATGGTTCAGGCTCCGATGTGGTTTTTTCCCTAAACAAATAAAAAATAGATTTTCTTATAATTCAAAGTAATCACTTTAAGTTATTTCTGTTGCATGGAGAAATGAATTTTTTATGGCATACTGCCCCAGGCCTCTTTGTTTTCTTTGGTCGCCTCTGATAGAGCTCCAATGAAATGGGGTACAAAATGTAAATCTATCACACAAAAATTTCTCAAGTAGGTAATACAAATACGGGAAATAAATTCCAAGAAATAGTAATATATTTGTAAGTTTATTTCATACGGTATTTGGCAAATCGGTTTCATCAATTGGTATAACATATGAATGTAAAATCTTAGTGGAACCTTTCAAATCATCTAAAAATGCAATGCAAAACCATTTTAATACTCATTTACGCAAACCTCTCTAATTTTTATGATGAATTATGTGAAAAGCTCCTTTGCATGGCCACGAGATCTTAAATCTATTTTACTTAAGCTTCATTTGTCTACACTCAAAACATTTGATTCGTCAATGAAAAGATAACCAATCCTAGTCATTGATGAATCATAATGAATAAGTTTACTGTTCAGTAGTAACATTAAATGGCTACACAATGACCACACAAGAAACATTCAAGCGAAGCCAGAGAGAAAATGGAAAAGGCTGAAGAAAGATAAAACAAGAAATGAAACGTGCGGAAACATGCACGTGCAGCGTGAAGAATGGGAACAGGAGAAAGCCCCCTCACTTTTTATGTCTTTCACTTCGTTAAAGCAGATCCGCGTGCATTACGAGAAATTAGTTCTTTTGTGTCCGATTACAGGGCTGAATGCAAACTGTAGATGCGCAGAATAATAATTAAGAATGTGGAGGTCGAAATTTGATACAACGAATTCCTCTTCGACAAACCCAAGTGCATTTTATAATTTCCGTAAGAATTTCCCTTAGAGAATATTACATTTTGTTAAAATTACGAAATATTACGTTTTAAGTTGTCTGACAAGTTTTTACCACGTTTTTGTTGAATTAGTAACAAACTGAGACGTATACAGAGAACACTGATGGGGAATCATTAACAAGCGTATATAAATAGAAAATAAACAAATTCGTATTCAACAGTTGTCGAAATGCGAACTCTCTCAATGTCGTATGCGACCCCATCAAAAGCTCAAAATCCTCCATCTGTGTCGTAGGTGGAGTTGCCTTCGATATACTGCAATCTTCATTCCTGTACGTTGGCAACTGTCTAGAAAGCGGTATCTCCCGAACAATGAAGAGTCAAATGACTTCGCCAAACTTTATTGTTTATCCGTCCAGGGTATCGATAGATATAAACAAAACTATGTGTGAAAAGGATCATTGACTGAAAAACCACGACACCCAATTTCCTGGAGCATTTTGTATTATACGCGTATGAAAGATTTTTGGTTGAATTCCATTCATTATATGTAATGCGCTTAAAATGCAAGATGCAAGTAACTAAATAAATGTTTGTTTACTCTAACTTGACGTTTCCTCAAATGACAGAATAGGAGAATATTATCGAAGACGCGTCTCAAGTGAACAAGCGACAAATATTTATAAACTTTTCGATGCAATGACGGACTGTGTAATACTCGTGCGAAGAGATTAGGCAGACATATTTTGCCGACTCTGATTTAAATAATTATATTTGAAATTTATCAAGCTCACAGGTATTACATTACTATCCTTGGTTTCGAATCGTTATCGGGCGATTACTGTGCAACTTGTACTCCAGATTACAGGCAGCCCTGACAGTTGGCTTCGGCGAGACTTCGCAAAGACAAATTTCTTCTTAAACCAATCCCATAACTCTTACATTTCTACTCTAATTTACATATTTAAAAAAACTTTCGAATAACTAAAAAGAGAAGTCAGTTCTGCACTGCTTGATGGTTAAAGAGGATGACAGAGGGGACCCCCTCCCCATATGTAGTAATTTGAACATAGCCTATGTAATGATGTACTACGTGTGAAATTTGTCTGCAACTGTTCTGTAAAGTGGTTAGTCCACTGCACCAGAAAATATAATTAAAACACGGCATCGGCGGAGTGATTCGTTCGGAAATTCGTTTTCCCTTCCCATATTCTCAGGGCGGATTCCATTCTCTCCTGTTCCCATCGTCCACGACGGTCGTGCGGACGCTACAGACTGGCAGAGAGTGCGGAGGTGACGGGGCGTGGAGACAGCAGCGGCGGCCGCGGCAGCGCCAGCGTCGAGTAGGCCGGCGCGGGGGCGGGCGGCGGCGGCGGCGGCAGGGTCGGGGGCGGCGGAGGCGGCGCCGCGCGTTGCCGAAGGCTTCGCCTACGCCAGTGACCAGCAATGGGGGAGCCGCGAACACCTAAAGCCCCGCGCCACGACCCTACGGGGCCCGCGAGGCAACGATACACCCAACTCAGTTATGGAAGCACATTCGTTGCACACTGGCTGTGGCTATTGGTTGTTACATGGAGGTAAATGGTTGGTGTTCGACGGAAGGCGTCGGTCTCGGAGCACGCTCCCTAGGCTGAAAACGCAGTTTTGGGTTTTGAACCCTTAAGAAGAAGTGAATGCACTATATGATGTTTTTTTCCATTTTTTATATAAAATAATCAGAACAGAATTTAAAAGTTTAGAATAATTAAGGTCTGCAACACATAATAGTCGATTTGTATTTGATTTTACATGCATACGTTGATTTTACATTTACACACCAAGTGGCCAAGTAGTTATTGTTGTTGCATACTTGCTATTTTTAATCAGAAACTTTTTTAAAATGTGTTCCTTTGTTTTAATGTATTTTCGGATCACTAAGTCATATTATCCCAAATCTTTCTGTTTGAGCGACAAGCCCCAAAAGTCCTAAATGTCTACTATTTTTTTTTCATCTTCAGAATAATTAAAACTTAATAAGTCCTATTCTTGAATAAATATATCAAGACTCAATCACATCATGCACTCTTTCTAGTGAAATCCAAACAGATATATTTTTCAGTGTTGCGAAATTAGTTGAGTTCTAATTAATACTAACGTAACTGAACGTAACTAAACAAATGTATGGATGCATCTCATTTGATAGAGATAGTATCTTTCAAATTATAAATTTTAAATTGTAAAGATACTTATAAAAACGATAAAAAAGTAAGAAACAACAACCACACGATTAAAATTCTATATTTTAATTAGAATTAAAATTTCAAAAATTAAAATAATATAATTAATACCACATTCCTCAGACATGAAATAAATAATACATGTATGGAGATTCACATGCTCCATAAAAACATTCACTTCTGCTTAAGGGTGGAACATTTTAAAGGTGTAACGTGATGCTCTTCAGGTTAACACTGTCAATTCCGGGAATTTCCTAATCGTGGTCTGTTCTGCGTCTGTTGCGAAAATCGTCATTTCATTAACCTGCTGAAAGATACAAACAAGAACACGACACGGGTAAACATGATGCGATCAGGTTCCCTTGCGCTGTCAGTCTGCCGCTGCCTTGGGCTATCCTCTCGTTCACCGTTCGAATACTTTCAGGGGAGAGAGGAGAGGTTCCGGGAAATCAGGCAAAATGAAAGTGGTGACAAAGAAAGAAGCTTTCTGCTGTTGACCGAACTCAGGTCATTACTCGACAATGTCATCGCAACACAAGAATGTGTGAATTTGTAATTCTTCGCCTTGTGAGGCTATTGACTGGAACTGGTCCGGGCTCGTGAAAGGGTGAAAGCATTTCCCGGAATAGGAAGTGAGACGCTGACTCCCGTATGACGAACATGTTTCTGAACAAAGTCAAAAGTAAACTCATACAGCCATAGTAAATTAATTAGACCTAAGCCTCTTTCGGATTATGTTGCTGCAGCTCACATCCAATTTAATAGGTAATGATAATGAGTTTTCAAAGGAACCATTTATTTCCCTTCCATTTCATTCAACCATAGCTTCATAATTTTTTCGATTTAAAATTGTCAACATTATCGTAATGCCATGGATTGATTTTCCCTCTTCTCACTTCGTGAGTTAATTAAAGGAAAACCGAAAGAAAAGAAAACAAAAAGCACTGAGGACAGTGTCATCTTTAAGATGCATCTCTGTATTCAAAAGAATAGGCCACATTTGCCGTTGCGAAATCTCTTAAATATTCTCATCCCCAGGCGTACAGAAGGTTTACCTTTCTGAGTTAGGACTACCCTGACGTTTCACTATTGCACACTGAAAATTACACAAAAATACCGATACAATCTGTAATTGTATAGCTGAATTAGTAAGAATCGTTGGAGTTTTAATTACCATGAATGAATAATGGTACCTGCCATGGACCAAGAAGAAAATTATCTTTGAATGATCGGTGCGAGCGAGTTCCACGTATATACCGCGTAATAAAAATCTGAGAAGACGGACCCTCACTCGCGATGCGTAGGAGAATCTTTTCCTTTTTCTCTGGGCCAAACTGCCCATCAGGAAGTTGGAGATTTGGTGGGCGAATGCGAAAGTGCTTGAAGACTGTGTGACGGTCATTTAATGTCGTGTGCAAGGCATTAATGCTATACATTTAAAGCAATCACGCTGGATTAGCACAAATTGAACTCTTAACGATTCTACGTTGAACATCGGAGAAGTTACAGCTCGTTCTTGTTTGGCCTTATTTTCAAGAAAATTAGTCATTTGACCGTCTTAGGGTTTAAACAAATTTAATTTTCACCTACAGTGATTCATATTTAGGATTCTGGACTACGAAATCAATAATTTCTGGGATCCATAGAATCCAGTTCAGTATAATTTGTATTACAGCTAACTATGACAATATCTGCTCACTTCGAGGTTAACTTTCTGCTTAAAAGATAAGAGTTCGAAAAGGCGAAAACCCTTGGGGAATATCTCACGATGGAGATTACCGTCATTCCAAAAGTCAGCTCTCAGTGTAAGATAAACTTCTCGCCACATTCAATTGCGAATGGAAGTGTCTTTTTGGGTTTACTTCGAGGGTTTGGTTCGTAGTGAAGTGAAGCATTTCGCTTCATTTTCGCACTAACAACCCCTTTCCGAGCGGGCGGACCAGCGGCCGCGGGCGGTTACGCACAATTTCAGCGCATGCACGGGGAAGGTTGCTTCTACGCGGTTCAGCCGCAGGGTGCGTGGGCGTGGCCACGGGGCGAGCGAGCGCGGCGAACGGCGGGGGCCGGAGACACACACTTACGCGCCGGGGCAACGACACAGGCGGAGGAGGAGGAGGTGGTGGCGGTGGCGGAGGCGGCGGCGACGCGCGCCCGTGGCGCTCTCTGCACCTGTCGCGGGCGCGGGCGCGCGGCGCGGCACCGGCAGCAGGCAGCCCCGCAGCCCACGCGCCGCCGCCCCGGCCACCCTGCCACAACACGCCACGCGCGCGCGGCGCGCGTCAGCCCAGCCCGGCCCGGCCCGGCCCACCCACACGCCCCGCGCGAGGGGCGGACGGGCGCGGAGGGGCGACATGGCGAGGCGAACGGCAGAGAGGGCGAGCAGGTGGAGAGATGTGAGTGAGACAGAGATCGGGACGAGTGGAGTAAGTAAGCGTGGCACGTAGGGCCCGAGTTGCGAGGAGCGGGACGGAAGAATGAGACCAAGAGCGGGGTGGGCGAGAAAGATTGGGACGGGTTGAGCCAGGAAGCATGTCACGGAATTGTAGGGTTCAGTTTGCGAGGCGTGGACGGATTGGTGAGACGTTGAGCAAGAAAGGGTCGTAGGCGATGACTGGGGCAAATTAAGATCAGGATAACTTCGAAAGGATATGGAAGGAAGCATGGGAGGAGATTTGAGGCGAAGAGAGGGTGAGTTGGTAAGATTGAAAAGATAAATAGGGATGGATGAGTAAAAAAAGTTCGATATAGTCAACTAGGAGCGGATAATCAATATTAGGTGTTGATAAAGGTGTTAAGCAAGAGAGACACAGATGAGATTTTTGGAGATAGGAACAGGTTGATATGTTAGGGAAAAATTCAGATACCAGAATATGTGTTGAAGACAAGGCTAATATGTGACAATCACATCAAGCTGACAAAGTCAGAACATTATTATGTTGTTGAAATATAGGAGGATATCAAGCGAGAGTTGTATGTAATGTCAAAACTGACCGATCAGAATAAGTGGTGGGCGCAAAATCAAGGTTAAAATGTAAGGAGATGGATACGTTGGAGTAGAAATGAATGCAAAATCGTAGTATGAAAATATTGGCATTTTATAACTCAAAAATTAAAAGAATAGTATACATTTTGTAGATTTGCATTTGAGAGGAAACATAAGAGGATCACAACTATTTTTAAATCAAGATACTATGCGTGGAATAGTTAGGATGTGAATACGAATTTATGAGATATTCTTTAGCAGCAAAAAGAATCTGAAATCTCCAAAAAGTTGTCTTCACATTGTGAATAATATGTTGAAAAATAGATTTAGATAAATTTGCATAATAAAAAAGTTTGACTAATTAAAAGTACAGTCGAGTTCGTATTTGTCAATTTATTAGATATTTAATTAAAATTCATTATTTTTTTTCAGAAAATTAATTTCTTGATGACATATTTCCTCATTACACGATATGAACTTAAGTTTTTGATTGTATATTTTCTTATACATTCATTGGAAAAGGGTTTGTGATGCGTCATTTAATTTAATTACTGTTAATTGTAAAGTAGTGCTTATAGTTTCTTTTGTGTATCAGACGAAACAGATGAAGATTACGAGAAAATATGAAAGGACACATCCCAAAATTATTTGCAAACATTTTCGAATCAGTAATTTTTCTCACTAGAATGTTAATTGGACTAATTTTATCGTATTGTAGTCCCAATATTTTATAATTTCATTATTTACTTAACCTTATGCAAACTTTTATGTCAAGTTTATTTGTGAGTCTTGGAAGAGAAAGAAGAGACTAAATTTTGCAGAAAATATATTTCTTTAGTTTTAAAAATATAATTTTTCAAAATCTTTAAAGTACATGGTCTTAATTTGTAAGCATGAACTTGGTTTTGGTTTTGTATTGTGAAATTATAAGAATTAGGATTTTTTATTGTAGGAGAGTCATTAAATAAATAAACCTAAAAATGAATTTTAAATATATATTTAGCTAAACCACAGCATAAAATAAAGTTTCTTCCATTGTGGATTATTAAAATGGAAGCTTTAATATAGGCATATACGTATAGTGTATTATGTAATTATGTTTTCAGTATGTATTATCTTCTAATTAGTAATAAGTTGAATTTATGATGAAAGAGAAAATAATAAAATTCAAAAAGAGTTCACAAACCGAGGTTCTAGAGGCTATGTTAATATAAGCTATGCATTTGCAATGCATACATATACGTAACAAATGCATAGGATAATATTTGTTTTATCAGCTCCTAGAAAATATATTTCTAGTAGAAGTTGGGAAAAAAGATGTATTCCAAAGAGAACGCGATAAACCGTATTGAACAGATAGTTGATTTTAATCACTGAGCAAAAATGAAAACAGATCGCTGATTAGAGATAACACATGTTGATGTATGAGATAACAATTAATCTCGAGAGCGAAAGTACTGCCAAACAATGATAGATGAAAAGAAAAGGGAACGGGAGAACTGAGAAGTGAAAATACGGACGGGAGAGAATGAGTATATCGAAAAAAAGGGACAGAAAGAGGGGGCGATCACAGAATTTTGATGGAGGTGGAAATTAGGGGGCGGGGGATTCCGTATTAGTCCCACCCCGATTGATTTGTGAAGTACATTAATGAGTTTTGCCTGCAGCCCATACGCTGGATAATCAAGTTGCCCCTCCTCATTGCCAGTTTAGCTCCTAATCCCCTCTCTCGGGCTGGTGCACTCATCCGTACTTCGCCTGCGGATATCGCCCGCAATGTTTTTATTTTAAGCAGATGTTCGTGCTTGAAAACCTCGAGGAGATGCCGCCCAAACGGCACTCATTATAAAAGATGAGAAGAGGAGTGAAAAGAAGGCAACATGAACTCAAGCATTCCAGGAAGGGAGATAGGCTATTTCATGCCGTTTTTTTTAACATTTTGAAAGACATATATGGATTTCGAAAATAGAAATAGTTGGCATCAAAGTAAGAGGATAGTAAAAGTTCAGACCTGAGAAAGGAAGGCGTGGAGAACGGAGAAATGTGAGGTTGCTGAGGGACAAATACATACACATGTGCCGACAAAAGAAGTGATATTGGTGAAATTCACATCAGGAAAGAGCGTGGTTTACGAGGTAGTAGAATCATCACGTCTTGCTAACTTACTTCCCTATATTTCTCTAATGTTTTTTCTCAGAACATTTTAGAAGGATATTTAAAGTCAGTCGAAACTAAAACTACACATTAAAAATTACACAGTTCTCATTAAAAATTAAAAGTATCTTTTAGTGATGTTAACGAATAGGAATAAAATCGTTTTAATTTTAATGATCAGTTAATTGGCTAATGTCACAAGCTATACAGATTTTCCAGATCTTAATTACGTTTTCCTGTTTATTAGTATCCCTATTTATTATTGAGATACGAAAGTATTCTGATTATCGAGAAATAAATAGTGGAGTAGTAAAATTAGCACAACGTCACGACCCTGCATTTTGCGTATCGGTTTACACCTCGCCAGTAACGTCAGCCATCAGTACGAAATACAACGGAGAGGCATAACACACATAGTTAATGCATTTATAACGTCAGGGCAGGGGCAAGAATCAGTGGGCAGCACACTGGCGGAGTGAGAGACAGAGCAGCAGGTGCCGTGTGAAAGAAGGCAACCAAGGTGTGACACTTTACCCAAAACTGGGCGGAGAGTTCGCCGCCGGCCCTTACCCGCAGACGCGGCTGCCGATTGGCCCAGCAACACCTCGCGCTCTTCCTTGGGCAGAGACTCCAGGCTCTCCAGGTTGTTGCGCAGGTTGTCGAAGAACTGCTGCATGTTGCTAAGGACACCTGCAACAACAGACCTCCTGCCGTCGTAGTATACTTCGGCGCCGCCAGCCCTGCTCTTGCGTGGTGATTTGTGGAGGGCGGGTAGTAGAAAGTGGGAGAGGGTTAATGTTTTGAAGGTTGCCACGAAGATACCGACAATTATGTTGCTAGCACCATAAGACGAGTCAGGCAAGAAATCTTAATATATGTATAATAAAAAAACAAAATATATTTCTAAGTCAATGGCATAATTACCCGGCCGGCCGGTGCAGTTAACGGAGATTTCAGAATCCAGTTTCTTTATTAATACTGCCGTAATAGGTATTTTTGGTGCATTTTAAAGAAATACTTCTCGTAATTTGGTAAGAAATTAAAGTAGTTTGTTTGTGATCGCTGTTTTCGCTTCAGGGTGCATATTTATGCCATTTAAAAATGCAGTGGAACCGATATTTATTCGGTTGATCTCTTTTAATTAACTGAAGTTCCAACAAACCATCGGTTTTAAGTAACACATGATTCAGCACCTTATCTGCGATGGTTAATTCATTTGTTCAAGATAAGTTTAATGACTTGTTTTTTTATCGTCAAACATTTTAAACCCCCCTTTCTCATTCGTACACGACGTGGGGCCTTGAAAAATATAGTTTTGCAACTTGCGTATTCTATCAGTTATTGAATATATTTTGAACGATACAGAGTTAATATGTGGTAACGGAAATGACAATTAAGGAAACATCGACCAGTAGTTTAAAACGAGTTTACTACAAAATAATTACGCATAAATCACATACAAATACGCGCCCACTGTGATATTTACAGTCATATGGGGTCGATATTACAGTTGATTGCAGTGGCTGATTAGCTTCCTGTGTAGCATTGGCTTCTGGACGCATGAAGGCATCACCACAACAATTAGAAGTGAAATCAGAAAATTCGCTCTTTGTGAGTCTAAATATATTTCCCTCCTTTCACGACGCTCTGTGGAATTCTTGTGATTACTTTGAAGTACTCTATTTTTTTTTTTTTGCCTAACTCGTGATTTTTGAAGAAAATTCTATACCACCTTTTACGGCAACCCTCGTAGATTTGATTATACTTGCGGAGAGAGTGTTAAGTGAAGTTCAAGCCAATGCACGGGGATTATGTACTTAACTATATTCGAGAAAGAAGACTGGAGAATCGAGACAGAGAGAGATGTTGAAAATGAAATAAATATTTCACCTGTAAATTTTTCATGACAGATCAATATACAATGAAAATCCAATCGGAAAATTAAGCATTGTAAATTTACAGATCAACAATAAATGCAAGACAATTTTTTTCTTCTCCCTTTTGCACTTTTAAAGACACTTTTATTCTTATTTATCAAGTTCTTGATCTTGGGAAATCATAAAAATAACACTTAAAACTAGTGTTTTCGAGATATATTGTTAATTTAATTTCTAAACTTAGTCTATTAACTTTTTTATTCCATTTATATCTTTGTAATCGGACCTTTGCAAGCAAGTGAAATAGCACAATCCAGTAAAAAAAACTCAATGTACATCCTACCCAAAAATAAACTTATGCTGCAAATGTGAAGAATAAATTTACCAAAATTATTCGTTGAAAAAAGTATCATGACAAAACGCAAGTAAACAATAATACGATGCCTGCATGTTTTAATATCTTAGTAACAGTAATTCCATACTAATAGTTTCATAATTCCCATGTTAATTTTGGAAATTTCTTTTTCTAAATCGTTTGTTTGATTCTTTCAATTTTTAAAAGATAACCCTCATTAAATCCAACACAACTTTAAACTGTTGTAGCTCATTTCTTGGTTTTCATTTCTCAAATATTATCGAATACTCAGAGTCTTGAGCGACTTCCAATTATGTGCGAGAAAGTACTATGGCATGGTTTTGACCAAAGACACGATATCTACAACTACACCCCTCCCCCAGCACATAATACAGTTTCTACCTCCAGTTTGCTCCCTCGAGTAGGTTAAGCGGGGCCGCCTGTGCGCTGGCGTGCGTGGGAGGGTGGGAGGGTGGGGGGGGGGAGCCACGGGCCGAGCAGGGGGAGTGAGGAGCGCTGTGTTGCGGGCCGGGCCGGGCAGGGCCGGCCGCCCCGCGCGGGCGCGCAGACGAGGACGCCTTCTCAACGCGCGTGTTCTTTCACGCTATCACCTCTAACGGCGTGAGTCGTTTGTAGAGATTCAAAGCAATCGAGATTTCATTTATCTTTTCGAATCGAATAAATCGTCTAGTAAATAGGCCTAGAAATGAAAGTATTGCGTGAAAGGTTTCGCTCGTGAAAACATGTCTATTCACAATGATGAAGTACAATACGTACGTATGATGAAGTACTATGATGAAGTACAAAATGTAATAAATTGAAGATGACAGAGAGACTGTGCATTATTTCATTTGTTCACTGGTCATGCATTAGTACGAGTATATGCGAAATTATTTAACAGACATAAATAACAACGAAATAAGTAAAACGACATTATTATTTTTGGCAGTTGTGACTTTACAATTTTCGCCTGATCCAATCACAAACATTAACCATCTTTGAAAATAAAACACGTCACTGCGGCATTCGTTAAGTGAACATTTACGTTAACGTTGCAATTATTATTAATTTAAAGAACCAAAATATAATATTGATTTGGCAATTGATATTAGATACGATATCTATGTGATATCTGTCTATGGATCAACAGTATATTCGAGTTTTTTTGTAAATCAATCAACTACTTTCTAGTATGATCCAGTTTATTTTGGTGGAAATTTGATAAATGCGAAACTCGTTCAAGTTTTATTGAATGTATGTCTGAACATAACTTGTGAAAGTAATCGTGTTTTATTTTCTCGTACAGGTAGTATAAAAATCGCGAAAATTACCAATTTTTTACATTTTGATGTCCGATACCAACACTTTTTGTCTGGCCTTCTACCTGTGTTTCCGTATTTGAGGAATATTAGCACTTTTACAGATCATAGGAATGTTTCAAAATCCGGTATTATCAAGTGCTACCGCGTGCTATCAAGCTACCTCAATGGGAAGTCTTACGAATTTGAGAGCAATATTTAAATTTTGATGAGTTACATTTTATGCCGGGCACACAATACTTTCACTACTTTCTCGAAAATCGCTCCAATGGGCTTCGTTGCTGCATCGGCCGCGCGCCCTGTCCTCGCGCCTTGTCCTCGTCCGCGCCCTCCGCGCGGGGACGCCGGCCCCGGCCCGTCCTCGTGTGCGGTTACGCACCTACACTAATGTAAGGCGTGTATCGGGCGTCTCGCTTACCCAGCCCCATGATCCAGTCCGGGCTGCCGCCGGCGTCGATGGTCGTGGGTTCGTTCCCGCCGCCGCCGCCGCGTCGCTGCCGCGCGTAGGGGGGCGGCGCGTCGCCCGCGCCCGCCGCCAGCAGCCCGGCCAGCGCCGCCGCCGCCGCCTCCAGCTCGGGCGCGTCCGCCGCCCCCGCGTCGCCGGGGCCCCCGCCCGCCGCCGACGCCGCCGCCGGCCCCGTCAGCTCCTCGCTGCTCGCGTCTGCCGACAGGCGCAACACTCAATTATTATTCAGGCGACTCCAGCTATAGTGAACTCTCGGTTATAGTGAAATCGCTCTTCTGTTTCACTAACACTACAAAGAAGCACAAGGAGATTCAGTTATAGTGAACATAGGAAATGAAACATCTTGGAAATTAATTCCCTCCAAGAAAAAATATATGCCTCAGTGCCACAAATTCCAACACTAGGCAGCTAGGACAAAATATCGTTGGTCAAAGGTCATAATCGAAGAAGCCTCCCCTGAGGTACAGGTAGCAGACCCAGAATCTAGATTTAAATTATGACTAGGGTGTGGATGTTGATGACCTAATGCATAGACAAAATGGTCAAAAAAATGTTCTTAAATTGTTTTTGAAATACATTAAAAGCAAGGAAAAGTGACGTATTTTGTTATCAAAACCACTTTAGATGAACAACTCAAGCTGTTGGGTAATCATGTTACTGACGTAATCGAGACTTCTTCCTTTCGTTCAATTGAACTCTTAAAATTTTGGCTCGGCTGTTATTTACCAGAAAATTTCTGCCTTCTGGTATCGCGAAATTGGCCGAACCGATAATGGCGCGGATAGGCGATACAAGAACCTTAGATTACATTACGTTATATTACGCCTAGCAGCTGACATCACAATTTCTGAGCTAATAAATCGAATAGGAGGTCACTCATGAATTCTGTGGAGTACATTTGTTGCATCTCGTAAATATTATTTGAAGCAAGTGCCATTAACATCAATGCTCATGTAACCTGGTGTTTTGGAGCGACATAATTGTACAATTAAAAACCATGACAATGATTTGAATTAAAAGTTGCTGCCAGAAGGATACCAGTAAGGTTAAAGCATGTTATATGCCTGGAAGTCCTTCCCTACTGGAAAGTGACATCCGGCGCCAACCTATTCGTCGACTTGCGGGTTTTCCACCTTCTGGTACTTCCGCTATCAAGTTTTTAAAGAAGATTGAAATGACAATCCAATTTTTTTACGATCTACAATCGACACAATTCATATGGATGAAATAGTTTTATTAAATGTCTATATGAGCAAATTATTCACTAACATATACAATGACAACTCTATTATTGTTTTCTTCAGTTCTGAGAAAACCGAACGAGATATTTCCAAAATATGTTTCTTCATTTGGGTATATACTGGTGAGAAATTTTACCACACGAAATTTATATTTTTTTTCTTTCTCGCCTACTACGTGCGTACTTAGCAAAGAGAAAGTATTGTACTGCTGCAGCGGAAACGGGTAATCTTTATGCCCATGTACAAATTTTGGAAAATGTTAGTATTTTTTGCATATTTTTGTATGCGTTTTTATGTTTTTTGCATAATTGTTTCAAATGTAGGCAATTTTGAAACAATTATTTTCACAAAAACAGCTTAAAATTTTCTCTTTAATTTTCCAAGTCCTTTGCAAGAACGCTAAAAATTACACGTTTCATTTTTAATTGAATTTTCTAAATTTTCAAAAAAACTACAAAAGACACAAACAGTGGGAGAAAGTACGTGCTGTTTAGCTACCAGTAGTTTTTCTTTCAAACAGTTTAAAGCATTTCATTCTCTGATAAATCAGTTGTTAAAAATAAATTTTAAAAAAGTAGACAAAACATTTCGATTCAATACTCCGTTGGGCGTCACCATTAAGCCATCGCATATCGCAGAAATTGATTTCGCGAGAAGTTTCGGGCATGAAATAACAACGGCTGTAGATTTCCATGCTCGGATCTGATGAGCCGCTTCATTGAGATGCAAGCGGGCCGGAAGCGTGGGCGAGGCGGGCGCGGAGGCGGGCGCGGAGGCGGGCGCGGAGGCGGGCGCGGAGAAGAGAAAGAGGATGGTGAAGCTGCAGGCGTCGGGAAGGGCGTGGAAGAGGGAATCACGCCTGAAAGCGAGGGTGGGGAGTTTTGGGGATGGGCGGACCATGGGTGTGGGCGAGGTGCAAGTCGGATACGATCCGTCTTACGCGTGGTGGGCTTGGGTGTGTAAGGGAGGAGGTATTTGCATACGCATTTAGTTGAGCCCGTGACCTTCTTTCGACGGAAGTGCGGGGCAGGTGGCGCCTTGGAGACATGCGGCCAACGAGAGCGGATGGGGTACACAGGCCGCTACTAACCTGACATGTCGCGAGGACTCGAACCTAGATACTTGGAAGTCCCACGAGCTTCAAACCGCGGCAATTCACCGGAGAAACATTAGCTGTTGAAATATTTGAAGGACATTTTGAGGTGTTGTTGATAGGATAAGCAGATGTAATAAAAGACGGCGTCTTCGTTAACATGCGTTTATTGGTGATATTGGCTTTGGTCGGCTTTGTAGACAACATGTGTAAGCATTGCCTGGCAACACCCGCCATATTTTTATATGACTGATCGTGACGGTAAAGATGTCGAAAATTGATTATTATTCGTGTAGCAACTGTTGCGAGTTTTGGGGGGAGGGGATGATGATTTGATGAGGGTGGGGGAAGATGATTTTTATTTCTAATGAATATAAATCAAAAATGAATAAATTTTCAATGCGGCATGTTTTTTCTTTAAATGTGTTAAAGTTAATTAATAGTGCAAAACTTTCTAGTAATACAATTCTAATAAATGTCCTTCTTGGGTGGAGAGGAAGAGTGATTTTTCTGCAACTATCTAAAGTATATTTGCCGTATTTATATTTCACTCGAGTGCTGATAAATAAACGATTAATATAGTTTTAAATTTGTAAAATCATTTATCACAACATAATTGTATAATAAAAAATAAAAAAAAAATGTCGATTTAATAGAAGTGTAGTAGATTTTAAAGAAATTCGTAAGAAAATGCAATTTTTAGTGCAAACATGTTTTTGTAAAAGGATTTATAATTAAAATCTATATCAATAATTTTAACGATTAATTGAATTTAAGTTTTCTCTTTTTGCTTTTTTTCTTAAATTAATGTATATTGCAACGAGCCCATGGTAGATATTATTTTTAAAGCGTTTAATTTTAGTATGCATGAAGTTTGCCAAGAAATTGAAAAGTTTGTTAGTCGCTGCCATACGAAAAGTTTAGACTTGTGTTCTCCTTAAAGGGAAAGATATGAGAAACCTAAGGAAAAGTCTTCCCTTTTTGCGTAATGCTTCCACATTTGCCTGAAAGAAATTAGAAACCGTTCATAATTCGCTCGGTGGCTCTATTCGACGCATTTACACGTTTATTTCCAAAATTAGATTGTGTTTACCTCTCGAAATTTTCTTGTTACGAATTCGAAACTTAATATCAATTATGGAACTGTCAACATTAATTCATTATAATTTCATCAGTTTCATTAATCTTTTTGAAAAACATAGGCCTACACAATATATTAAAACAATATTTTGTGTGTTATTTTTCGTATTTAATAGTGGATTTGAATAAGCATTCTTGTATACAAATGGTATTAAATAAACGTGGTAGAGAAGTATTGAAATCAGATATAATCATTGTTCTCTGGGCAGCAAAGTTATTTGACAATAGTAAAGATTGCATAAAAATATTAGAATGCTGTGGTTCCAGCTTTGAAGATAAAATTACAAAAGATATTTTCTTCACGAATATTAAATTTGTTTCTCATTTCTGAATCCCTTAAAATTGTTTTTTACATTTTTTCCGCAATAGTGTCTATGAAGAAGGAAGTTAACTAATTCAAAACCATGGACTCAGCTTACTTCCTTCTGACTGCTTTAATTGCCTTTGTTTCTAGAACATCTCATCCGAAACATAAGATTCGAAATACAAACGAAGGGTTCAGCAGTATCCGTTTGCTTTACGAAATACGAAACGTGTCTCTGTAGACGGTGCAAAGAAATAAATAAGGAAGAGAAAGTAAATTTAACCTTCTTGCTGCCTTGAGGCTCGTCGAAGAAACTTCTTCTCTCGTCCCTTTACAAATTGCTACCTCGAAGACCCCTCTCCACATTGTATTTATGTTCGAGAATTCGAATTGTAAGGAAGCCTCGGTCAAAATCAAGCAAAGTGTATGTATTGCCAAATGTACTTAGTTCAGCCAGATTTTTACTCTCTCGTTTACAACTACCTTGTAAGAGAATGTTATGTATGCACTAGAAAAAAAATGCCGATTTTTCGACTAAAAAACACGTTCTGTGAGCCCCTGATGTAAGAATGTGAATTTTTGCTTCTATGTTTAGTAAATTACTTTCTCAAAAACGAGGTGCAGTCAGCATATAGGTTTTGTGGGTCCTTTTATCAAAAAGTGGTTTCTCCCCAAGTGTCTGAATGTCAATCCTCCCCAAGTGTCTGAATGTCATTTTCGCTACCGATTTGTACGTGTCACGATCCCTTGAATTTGAAAAGAATATTTTATTTTTTGACGCACTTCACATGAAACTCTTTTCAAAATTTTCTCAAAAAGTCTCCATTTCCCCCCCCTTTACGTACTTTGTTATTGGAATGCACTCTTTTTCTCAAATCTAATTTTCAGCAAAAACACTGAATTTGTCAAAATTTAAGTTTTCAAAGTTTTTTGGCGGCTTCCAGCAACTAGATTATTGAAGATAAAGACTTTTATTCTTGAAACCTGTTTTTCAAAATTGTTTTTCAATAATGTCATGAGAACTTTTTCGAAAATATGAGCAGTTTTTGCTAACCGTGTAGAGAAATTGTGACAATTTAATTATATACGTGAACAATGTTTGTCTTAAAAACAGTTCCTCATTTTTTCTTTGTGTTGGGATGCAGACATCCTGGTGATCTAATAAAAATTCCGCTTTTCGCGAAACCTATGTGTCCTTGCATATGTTAGAATCGGGTCCTGGACAAATATTTTTTGTGGTTTGGAAATACGTTTCCTAGTTAAATTAGTATTATAATATTATCGCTACAAAAACCATTATAATGTAGATGCTGTTGTGGGACTACTAGTTTCTGCTGTGGTAATAGGAAAAGGTTAAAAGTTCAGCGAAGAGAAAGCCATACTATACATACACATATTCTTTTAGCAAACAATTATGTTAAAATGTACCAAAATATAATTACAAAATTTCATGTTTTTCCATTCTCAGATCAATGATTTTCTTGATTCGTTATCTTTTGAGAATAATAGTATGTAAGTAAGAAATTAATTCCTGTTTAATTTACCAAAATAACTCTGTTATATGAGTTTTGTAAAGGGTTATATCACAAGTAATATTTGCGAGTCATCACATGATCACACCTAAAAGAGTTGGTCATTTGTTGACAATGTTTATCTAACAGCGAAGAGTCACTCAAAATCTAATTTACTTAATTTTCACGTAAATATTTTAAAATAAAAAGAACGAAAAAATTAGAGGCTTACAAGCACGAAGCAACCGTTGAGATGAATTATGTATATTGCAAATAAGTTTTGTATTTTGTTAGTCGTTCCATATGGATATTTTAATTTTCTTTTAAAATTTAAAATTACGTACATGTGAATTGAAAGAGAACAATTACTTGTCGTTGTGCGTACGGTAAAATTTATGTGATGCAAACAAGATGACAAAGATGTATTGATATGTGTCACTGTTGTTTATTTTGTGTATCAACGCTTTTCAAGTTAAATGGGAAGTTCTAGTGATGGTTGAATTATTTTTTGTTCAATAACATTTCACAACGAAATTGTTTATGGATGCAAAGTATTAGTTAAGTAAATATTTCCATTCACATTTCTACATAATGTGCATAAAGTTTAACATTAATACCAACTATACTAAATCGTGCACCCACACGATTTTTTTCGTAGTAAATGACAGAATATGAATATTATAACTAGTGTGCAGAACATTGCTAAAATGCAGCTGCCTATTAAACATTATTTCAATGGAGTACAAGAATCCGGGAAAGCCCAAAAACTTACTTATAACTTTGTTGACTATTAATGTATTCGCATACATACTGATATTTTCACAATAAGTAAAAGACGATAACGTTATAATTAAGTATCACATCATTAGATGACTGAAACATCGCATGTAAATAAAGTGCAACAAGAATTTATACAAATAAAAGGCAATGCTCGTATGAGTGAGCCATAAAGACACCGAAGCTGCTCGACCAATTTTGCTGAAATTTCCAGTTTGTTCTTGTTAGAGATCATCTTCTTTTAAACACAGACTAATTACAAAACATTTTATAAATGTTATTCCTAAGCCAAGTAGAAAAATTACAAAAAGTTAAATATTAATACAGGTGTAATAATGAATACTAATTGACCATTTTCACTATAAATATATTCAGTGACACATTTGGCTTAAAAAAATTCAAGAGCTCGAATTGGTCGCATCCGTGAACACGAAAACTCAGTCAACCACCCACGTCTTTCCTCCCCCCCTCTCTCTCTCTCTCTATCACACACACACACACACACACACACACACACACACACACTCCGAGTGACCATTTAATTGCGGCGAATTACATTCCAGGCTCTCGCTTTCGCACATAATTTCGCTTGTCGCGTTGACGTAGCAGCGACGCCACCGTGCATCAGAAATGCGAGGGACGTGTACTTGCTTGCTACCGACGAATTGCGGAAAAAGTTTAATTTAAAAATAGCGGTTGGCTCAACATTTCGCTGGTGTTTGCGCCACTCGTGGTTACTGATGTTTCGGCTCCTCCCGCCGCTCCCGCTGCGCCGATGGTAAATAAAAATGCTTTCCCAGCAAACAAGGCTGCGCCCTGGCCAACACGCCGCGGACTGCAGCTGTATGGAAAGTTCGAGTTGTTGTCGTAGCCAACCCACGGACTATTTGGCATTGCCGTGTAAACGAGTCAAGGAGACGATTTTAGCGGGTAGCTACGCTTTGTTGGAAAGGTTTGGGAGGAAAACGTGGTGTTATTTTTTCATTAAAAATGTATACGAGTTTGCAGAAAGATGGTATATGTTAAAGATGAAATATTTATCTCCATATCAAATCTGGAAAATAATGATGCTTATCAAAGTTATTTTTTTACCATCCTGACGATTTAAATACATTTCAATACTCTGAATAATACATAACTTTTTACACAGTTTCATAAGACACGATCAGATCTCACAACTAGTTTTAAGCAAGTAAGTATTGATGTGTGTTTAGGGAACAATAATACAATTTTATCCGGCAAAATAAGTTATTTAGTCTTTCATTTCTGAAACGAATGCAAATTATCATTTTCGGTGCATCTACAACGGTTAAGTAAATTTTCAAATATACCAAAAAATTAAAAAAAGTTTTTATATTATAAAACGATTGATATTCTTTTAACATTGGGTATTGCTAACAAGTCTCTTTGTAGAACTTTCACTTCCAACATCTCTAGTCATGCCCTTATTATTTTGCGATCAGAAATCAGAATACAAATTAAAAGGCAATCGCAAGACCACTGAAATTTGTCATCGCCAATCAATACACACCAAGCACGCATGTTATCATCACTTTTCTTAAACACCAGACCTCATCCCAATTCTCTCCAATGGACAAACCTGTGAAATCGAAGCCGCACATCGAGGTCACATAACAATCTAGCCCCGGACAGATTCATTACTCTTCTCGAGTAATATAATAAAGCACGACCGAATGGAATCTCTGCTAATAAACCATTCCGGCGACGAGCGTTACAGACCACTAGAGATTGAACAGTTGTCTGTACCGCGCGTCATATTGGCTCTGCCTACATACCTGGCAATTCTTTCTGGGGTGCCGCAGGGGCCACGACGCGGGCACGGGCCGCGTCATGGTGACGTTGGTGACGTTCCACATTAATAACGACTAATCGCTCTCCCGCCGCGGTGATTATGGTAATTTAATACGCGGCCGGTTAACCGGCCAGCCGGTCGGGCAGTATTTGCGGCCGGTCGCCGGCCCGCGGGGCGAAGGGGGGCGCGACGGGCGGGCCGACCCTCGGCCACAGGTGGTGGGCTGGTCGAATATTTTAGCGGTGCGTGGGGGGGTTGTAGGTATTTTCTTCTGTCGGTGGAGGACGAATTGTTGGCAGATGCGAGAAAGCTGATTGATTCTCGGTTTGATTTGGGTGAGAACGAACTTTTCCAAAAAGGTCATTGCGTTGTAATTTATTGAATTGCTGAAGCAGAAAATGCCATTGATGTTTCGAAAACATCAAACTACATAATAAAGTAGAGTGACTCTTGTTGATTAGCTTGAGATTTTTACCTTAGAATTATGATGGATTTATACAAGAATAATATATTTTCTTTTTGTCCTTTTTTCAGTTACTGTAAAAAATAATTTTCAGTATTAATAATAATGTAGAAAAAGTTTAGTGGATCTGGACATAAAGTTATCAAGTTGCCATGATTTAATTTATGGAATTGAAAAAAACAACAGAATAGCGGGAACAAATGGAGCTTTCTATTGTCATCAATGAGAGATCTGTCGAGAAACATCCTAGGGACATCCGTTATTATGGAAAGTAAACGGGTGATATTGCACATTTCGTGTCAAATAACGGGGAGGTACTGAATTTAAGCTATTTACATCAATCTCTGTAATAAGGATACTACTTATTCCATCTGCTGCTTGAATGACCAGAGCACGGGCGTCAGGCGGGAGGATAGCAGGCGGTCGGGTTCTCCTCTGAGCACGCGGTGGGCGGAGGCGTGAGAGGGCGGGCGGATGGACCGAGCAGGGAGGGGGGGCGCTGGTAAACCAAGGGGCGGGCAGGCTGGCGAGTGGATGGACTGGGGCTAACGAGTGGATGGGCGCGCGGGACGATGGGTGGGTGGCGCTACGTAGCGGAGGGCGTGGGTACGGGGTGAGTTGAGCACGGGGTGGGCGGTAGCATGAGTTGTGGGGCTGGTGGGCGGAGTTTGGGCTCGCGGGTGAGCGAACGTTTGGGCGGGGTCGCGCGGTAAGTGGGAGGCTAAGTGCGAGAGCGCGCGAGCAGGCGGGCGATGGGGCGGGGCTGGGAGGATGGGCGAGGCGGGGCGCAGCGAGCGGACGCGAACGGGTGAGGGAAGGGAGGGGGGTGCGGGCGGCGGGGCAGGCGGAGCAAGGGCGGGGCGTCGAGAGCAGGCGCGGGCGCGGTGTTTGGGGTTCAATTTCCTGCAGCGCCAGGAGGAATGGGGCGCCGCGACCGCAGGCGCAACGATTCGCGTGCACCGCTCGCGGCGGCGAGGAGGCGCTAGCAGGCGCGACATTGCGGCTTGGCTGACTGAAGGGAAAGTGGTGTCCTGCCCCGATACCCTTCTTGCGTCAAATGAATAAACCAGCCTAACTAAAAAAACACATCTTCTGACACCAAAATAACATCAGTATATAAAAGTATGAGAATATCAGTATACAAAAGAGGTTCAACTTTTGTTCTGCAAACTTCTTGACGAGCGCAAATTGATGTTTCGTTTGCCAATGACGACCATCGGAAACAATGGGGTGGTATTTATATCCAGGAAGTTATATTGTACCTAACCGGGTACAATTTGTAATTTGAACAGGCTCAAATCAAAGTTGTAAGCAACATTAATGGCGAATTTATTGGTGAAAAAAGTAGTGATAGTAGTTGCACTTGTATATCAATTATTTGAAATTTTTATTTTCATTTCACCGAATCTTAACACGACAGAGTAGTCATAAACGCCATGATCCTTCTTGAACTGCAATGTGTCTTATAAGCGAAAATGAAGCATGGTGTTTTGCATTTCGGGTGTCTGGATGGAAATGGACAAGAACTTACTGCTGGGTGAAATATCCTGAAGATTTACAAACGTCGACAAGAGATTTTACATACCAAATTGGGATTTGATCACCAGAACACAAAATTGGAAAGTCTCATTAAATACCCCCACCTCTCCACAGCGTGAGAAACCAGCGGGGTGGCTCAGGAATCAACTGATGTGTCTCTGACCGGGAGGTCCTAAGATTGAAGTTTCAACGGTGGCAGGGTTTTCGACATTAGCTAGATAGTTAAATAGAATTCAACCGCTGTCTGGAGGAGAAATCTAAAATAATAATAATCAAAATATTAATCACCAGACTGCTCTGGACGGTTTTTTCTCTTGGTTCCATCAATCAACGCGATGTTTCAAAGAATCGGTATTCAAAATTAAATTATCGACGCTAATGAAACTGCCCAAAGTCTATAGATATTTTTAAATGATGTTTTTAAAACTACGTTAGTAGCCAGTAATAATACTATATTAATTAAAATCGTACTTCACAGGATCATAAAAGATATTGACATGGGGAGATTTAATTTGACGTCCATTTTATGAATTTTTTATTCAAATTTAAAAACTGACAATTTTCAGTCATAAATGATCTGGACATTTAATGAAACTTTTATTATCTGATGGGGTAATTCAAGAAGTAAATGTGCAAATTTATCGACGAAAACTCGATTTTAATTGTTTTACATAAGTACCCATTGTTATTTGAAGTTCAAATTTTCATACAATAATGAAATATCAACCTCGTAAAAACAACGAACATAAAACATCGACACTAAAGAAACATTGACTTCAAAAAATCGATGATAAATCTGTTGATAATTTTATCGATTGATTGTGATTCCAGTCGCGTCAAAGGGTACGGTAATTAGTCCCGTAAGTGTAGTGCATCTTTTCCTCGCGGGTGGAGGCGGTTGTCTTCCCTTGCTGGATGACGAGATCCGGCGACAACCTACCGTCGGCTAGAGGGATTTTGCTCAACAAGGTATCTCCCTCCAGCGGGGTACCGCTGCAGCCGAAACAATCTCTAATCACCCGACCCGACTCTTGGCATGTATAGCAGTGTAGAGCATGTTTCTGCAAGTCTAGGTAAGGGGTGAGGATGGGACAAGGTTGAGGAAGGAAAGATCGCGCGTGGTCCCTTAGGGTACTGCTCCGGCATTCGCCTGGTAGTGGTCAGAGAAACCACAGAAAACTATAGTTCAGAGCCTCCTTCACTAGAATTTCTCCTCCAGACAGTGCCTGAATTCGACCTAGGTGACAAGCTAGTGTCGAAAATCCGGCCATCGTCTTGTCTCGAACCTAGACCCCCTCGGTCAGAGGCACTGCAGTGACATCAGTTGATGTCCTGAGTCACCTCTTGGTTATATAAAAACGATCGATGAAAATAAAAAAATCGATGTCGCGTCCATTCCGGTGACACCCAGAGGTGGGCGTGGGCGTTATCTGACCGCGGCTGATCCTCCGCATGCCGCCCACTAACACGCGCAGGTCTAAATTCCACCAAGAAGAGTGTTGATGGCATGACGCGCTAACAATCGGCGCCCTCCCTCTAACTCTGTGCAAAAAGTAATCCATATCATATCGACAGTCCTTCGGATACACGAGACGCGCGTAGCCTTGCGCGTGCTTGATTAATGGAATTCAGAGGTCACGAAAGGTTCCACGCCCGTTGTGTAATTTGCGAGTTTGCTACAAAATGTTCATAGAGGGTGAGTTCGGTTTATGACGTAGAGCTTGTAGATTTTTGAAACTGCCTTAGGAGCTGATTTGGACGACACCTGTCATTGGTTATTTCGGGTGTTCAGGCTCGTCAAATGCTGTGGTTAGTATTCCCGTGAGTGTAGTGTGGTTTTCTCACGGGAGGTGGCGGTTTATCTTTCCCCGTAGACAGCCGAGATGCGGGGCGCGGGCGTCGGCTAGCAGGGATTTACATCGCAGGGCTTCTAACACCTGCAGGGCACCGTCCCAGCTGGGACAAGCTCTAAGCTACAGGCTTAGTGTAGAGCATTTAAGTGTGTATGTCTGTAAGTAAGAGGTGAGGACAGGACAAGGAAGAGGAAAGAAAGATCGCGCGCGGTCCGTGACCCGTTTGTTAAAGTACTACTCCGGAATTTGCCTGGAATTGATAGGATAAACCACGGGGGAATTACCGATCAGAGCAGATAGCCGCTGGAATTCTCCATCAGACACTCATTTACTAGGACCTAGATAAGTCGAAAATCTAGTCACCCACGGGACTCAAACCCTAGAACCTCCCAGTTTGAGGTATTGCAATCATAGTCATTTTGATATATATGGCAAAATTGAATGCTATTCAATTATGGAATGATATACTGGAATGGTCAGGTACGAGTATAATTAAATATAACAGATTTATATTTGATAAAATTGTAATTTTGAATTTTATTAGCTACGTGGATTGCATTGTATTGAGTTTCGAAGTGTTTTTTGACGAAAACTGGTAAACCTATAATTTTCAGTGTTCAGTGTATAATGTTCAGAATACGCAAAAACCCTATTCGAGGATTATTATTGCACTAACATTTGGAAGAATATATTCCTTATATAACAATTATAAAGACCTTGTTCTTCTTACGTGAACGCGTGAATAAATTATAATTTATTATTAAATACTTACAATGTCTAATTAGAAGACCAAATTATAATATACGGATTTTAATCTAAAAGAACCACACGCTATATTTTGCACTGAATAAATAATTTTCTTTCGTAATGTTATACTTTTAGTTTAAATATACGTATGACGCACGTATGAACATGCGTAAACATCCCTGATATTAAATAAACGTGTTTACGAACGTTTACTGCCAACGTAATCAATGAAATAACACAGGTTTCGGGGGCTGTAATTTTGGTTGTCTGTGAAGTTATTTTTGTACTAATTCTGAGTCTTTTATTTGTTTCGATTCATAAATCAAACTCCAATTAAAATATCAAAATATTGGAAAATTATATCATGTGGGAATAAACATTTTTTTATGTAAAATTGTATTTGATTGTATTCTATCTTATAATTAATATTAATTGAGAATAATTAGTTAGCATTTTTAAAAG